AACTCACTTCCTTTTAGGGAAAGCGACGGTCGTGCAAGAGGTTTTTTTTTTTCTTTTCTTCTTCTTTTTAAAAAACCCAAGGGTGACATTATTTATACGAAAACGACGTTTTTTTGGAGGGGAGCCAGAGGAATACACCCCCCCCCCGGTTCAACTGATCTGGGATTTCCAAAGTGGTTGGAACTGACACTTTCAGGGGTCAGTGGAAATGATTCTGGGGTGAATTTTTCTTATGTTTTGTAAAAATCTATGCACTTCTAAGAACAAGACCTAGACTGAATGATATGCTCATGTTTTATTATAATATTTTATGTGTTGGGAGTCGGCCAGAGTGGCTGGGGCAGCCCAGTCAGATGGGTGCTGTATTATTATTATTATTATTATTATTATTATTATTATTATTATTATTATATTTATACCCTGCCCATCTGGCTGGGTTTCCCCAGCCACTCTGTTGGGCGGCTTCCAACAGAATATTAAAATACAATAGTCTATTAAACATTAAGAGCTTCCCTAAACAGGGCTGCCTTCAGATGTCTTCTAAAAGTCTGGTAGTTATTATTATTATTAATTATTGAAAAGGACGTCCCTCTTTTCATCGGATAAATGTTGAAGCATATGTTGCTTGAATGGTAAAAAAAAAGCCTGCAATAATACATTGGGTTAAAGATACATCTTTTATCGCTTTATTTTTGCTGTCAATTTCGCCATATTAGCGTTAACTTCTGAATAGGTCGAGGGTCTGTCTGTCTATCATCTATCTATCTATCTATCTATCTATCTATCTATCTATCTATCTATCTATCTATCATCTATCTACTGTATCTATCTAATCCATCTAATCTATCTATCTATCTATCTATCTATCTATCTATCTATCTATCTATCATCTCAGGGGTCAGCAAACTTTTTCAGCAGGGGGCCGGTCCAAAGTCCCTCAGGCCTTTTGGGGGCCGGACTATATTTTGAAGGGGGGAAAAATGAACGAATTCCTATGCTCCGCAAATAACCCAGAGATGCATTTTAAATAAAAGCACACATGTTTGCCTACCCTACATTTTGACGCCAATAAATAATATAAAGGTGGGGGGGAGAGAACCCTCTAAAATTCCAAATGAAAAAGACTCACTGATGATTTTAAAAAATAAAAACCCAGAACTTTCAGGAAGCCAGAATCCCAATTATTCATAGTTCTTTGAAAGGAGGAATTCCCCCTGGCAGGAAATTCTTTCAGCATGCTTACAACGGGAAGATTGCCAGGAAAATCCATTTCCTGCATCTTTCCAGCAACTGGGCTCCAAATGCTGCTTTTGATCTACCAGTTCCTCGTTTCGAGTTTCCAGATCGTGAATATTTTTGGCTGAAATCCCTTCCCCACTGAACCGCAGCCCCCCACCCCCTACCCCGAGACACAGCTGCAAAGCAGGAAGCCCCGAGTTCGAATGCCGCCTCTGACATGAGGCATGCGAAAGGCAAGCCACACCAACCGCCCTGCTCTTGGCCTCAGCCTTCCCCATCTGCGGAATGGGCTGAAGAACACGGGCAAACTTTGCAGCCCTGTCGTAAGGGTCAAAATACCGTGTGCCGAGTTCTTTGAACCCCAGAGGAAGAGAGAAGACATTTTTAGTTTTTCCTGTTTGGTTTTTTTTGCCATTATTCTCTTTAGTTTAGCTTGAATTTTATGGTATATTAGGTTGAAAACCTTTAATAACATTGATTTTTTAAAAAGTTCTCATAAGTAAAGGTAAAGGGACCCCTGACTGTTAGTTCTAGTCACGGAAGACTCTGGGGTTGCTTCCGGGTCATGTGGCCAGCAGGACTAAGCCGCTTCTGGAGAACCAGAGCAGCGCACGGAAACGCCGTTTACCTTCCCGCCGGAGTGGTACCTATTTATCTACTTGCACTTTGATGTGCTTTCAAACTGCTAGGTGGGCAGGAGCTGGGACCGAGGAACGGGAGCTCACCCCGTCGCAGGGATTCGAACCGCCAACCTTCTGACTGGCAAATCCTAGGCTCTGTGGTTTAACCCACAGCGCCACCCGCATCCCTTTAAAGTTCTCATAGTCCCCTGCAATTCACATTTTGCTGCATTTATAAGATTTTGAAATAACAATTACAAGGTGAGTCCGGCTTTGGCTGGGGAGGGCAGGATATAAATAAAATTTTATTATTATTAATAATAATAATCCAGATCAAATGGGGGGAAGGGGTGGAATTCAAATAAATCTGACAAGCATCTGAAAAGAATTAAGATGCCCCCAAGTCCCTAAACCGGCACTTTACGGGGGGGGGGCAGTTTTATTATTGATTTATATTTTGATATTGTTTTGCAAATAACAGTTATCAATGAAGGGGAGGGTGGGAATTGCTTGGAGCAGAAAGTCTCTGGAATTGCCGTCTTTTCCCGTGTATAAAACGATGTTTTCTGAAAAGGAAGGGGCCTTTTATCATATGTGGTGGGAATGTAGAGAAATAAAAAATTTTGGGAAATGATATATAATGAATTGAAGAAAATGTTTAAAATGACATTTGTAAAAAACCCCAGAAGCATTCTTGTTAGGGATTGTAGGAAAAGACTTGCCAAGGAAATTAAATAACTTATTTATGTATGTGACAACGGCGGCAAGAGTCTTGATAGCGCAAGGATGGAAGAACGAGGAAATCCCAACGAAAGAATAATGGCAAGAGAAATTGATGGATTGTGCAGAACTGGCGAAATTGACATATAAACTGTGAGATAAGGACAACTGTGACTTTAAAGAAGAATGGGAACTTTCTACAAAGTATTTAAAAAGACAACAAAACGAATTGGACTCTTTGGCGGGTTTTGAATAAACATACACAAACCTATTGATTGCCAACATAGTAAACAGATAATATAAGGATTTATACAATTTTACAGTACGCAGAGAACAATTGGTGTTGAGAAATCAGAGAGAGGAGATGGGGAGGGGGAAAATAATGAATATAATATGTTTTGATATTGTGTTATGTTGGAGTTGTTAATAAAAAAAATTAAAAATAAAAATAAAAGGATGTTTTCTGCTAACTTTATTGAGTCAAAAATTGGTGGTCGTCTTAAATACCATCTGTTCCTCTTCCCCGTTAGTTGGCAACCCACCGTGGGAAAAACAGAAAGAGAGGATCGCTGGGGGGGAGGAAAGTTAATCGCCCCCAAACCTCTTGATCTTACAAGGTAGAGGCCCCAACCTCGTCCCTACTCGCGAGTAAGAGAGGAAGCAGGCGTTTCCGGGGCGCGGAACACCGGAAATCTGCAATGCATTGCAACATCAGACAGACTTTTAGTTTTTTGCAAAGGGGAACAAAGCTGCAATGCAAATTCGACTGCCGATTTTAAAAGGGGAGCCGGGCGCGCATCCCCGCATCCTCACGTGCGCCTTACCTGCTTTCCGGAGGTGGGCTCCCCAAAACGCGTGTCAAGGTCGGTCTCCCACTTGGCCACGTTCCCGGATCGCTGGAAAAGAGAGAAACTCTCCGCACGTTACTCCACCCTGGAGGCAGGATCGGGGCTGAGCGGCACCACCCCTTCCGGGTCCCGATCCAGGCAGTGCCCCGGCGTGGTCCTACTCGAGAGTAGACCCGTTGAAATTGCAGGGCATCCCCATCTTAATAATAATTTGTAGCCCGCGCATCTGGCTGGGTTTCCCCAGCCACTCTGGGTGGCTTCCAGCACATAGAAAAACATAATCTTTATTTATAAATATTATTTTAAAAAGCATAATATAATTTTTGGGTGGGGAAGTTTTTCAAGCAGAAAAGCTGAAAAGTCTTGGCCGTCCTCTGCAATTGCTTCATCTCCATATTTGCAAGAAGGGGAGGGACTGGTGGCTGGAGAAGCAACACCTCCTCACCTGGTTCGCCTGCGGAACTCACCGCAACAAGAGCATCCTTTTTTGCCATATGTGGTGGAAGTATATAAAAGCTAAAGGCTTTGGGGGAAAAGATAGACAATGAGTTGAAGAAAATGTTCCAGGTGGTTGTTCCCAAAAGTCCTGCCGCTTTTTTCCTAGGGAGGGAATTCCCCAAAAAAGATGATTAAACTAATTATGTCTGCGACAACAGCAGCCAGAATAATTAGTAACTAAGGAGGAGGAATTGCTTCAGAAGTTAGGGAATGAAAATATCCTGGCACCAGTAAGGGTGGGGAGTCAAATTTTTAAGAAAAACCTATGTTGAAATATAAGTAAACTGGCCAATCTGTGAAAAATCAATTAAAAATATCTCTAATAATAATATTAATAAAAATAAGCGTCCTGGCAGTTCCTAGTGGAAAGGGACTAAGGCAAATTCACAAAAAAAGCATACAATCTACGAAGGGTAACCAGCAACTATAGTCAGTGTGAAGCATCCCAACCAGGGGCAGTCTATCTGCATGTTTCTTTTTAATTTTTTATTAACACTTTCAACATAACAAATTATCAAAACATATCATATTCATTATTTCCCCCCTTCAAACCCTCCCTCAGCTCCTCTCTCTGATTTCTCAGCACATATTATTCTCTGCATGTTATAAAACTACACATTTCCTTACATTATCTATCTACCATGTTATCAACCAATAAACTTGGGTATGTTTATTCAAAACCTGCCAAGGAGTCCAGTTCATTTGGTTGTCTTTTTAAATAAATTGTAAAAAGCGCCCGTTCTGCATGTTTCTTTATTTATTTGAAACTTTTACAAACCGCACTTTCATTGGAAAATAGCTGTCCCCTCTCTTTTTCCCTGTTTTATTTGTCCGTTTTGTAACACAAGGAAATATTTAAATTTTTTTTTAAAAAAGAGGAAAGTTAGCCAGACTGACTTGTGGAACTCCCTGCCACAGGAGCGCTTAAGAGCAGCGGGGAGAGTTGGCAACGCTGCCCGCAGGAGAACCAGAACGCGCTCCGGAACGATCTAGAACCACCGGGGCTGTTCCGGAACGTTCCCTGGAAGCCAGAATGCCCCATTGTCTGATGCCCTGGAGATGCCAGGGATGGGAGATGGGTTGGCGGAGCCCATGCCTGGCCTTGGTGGCGGTTCTGATCCTGGGGCCGGGCCCCTCCTGGCTGTGCCTGCAGTGCGACCCCAATTTCGCCCTCCGCTTCGCCTCCTACGCCCCCCACCTGAGCCGCAAGTCCTGGGGGCTGGGGGACGTCCCGGCTGCCGGGCGGAGGCTGCGCGGCTGGGCCCAGGACACCCTGGCGGAACTGAACCTGGGGGTCCCGGCAGAGATCCGTGAGTCGCCTCGCAGGCCCAGGGTGCCGGATGTGGCCCTCCAAACCTCCCGATGTGGCCCTCGAGTCACAGCACCCCCTAAGCAATAACACCCCCTCTCTCCCCATGGACGGGCCCCATGTCAAAGATGGGGAAATTCAGGCTTGTGTGCCAATGTGGCCCTCGAGACCTCTCCACCTGGCCCCTGGAAATCTCCGCAGGCCACTCCCCCTGGCCCCAGGCCGCGCGCCCTCATTGGCCCAGCTGGGTCTGCAGCCTTCATACATCCCTTTCACCACCCACTGTTCCCCCTGGTCCAGCCCACCCCTTGTCTGTGGCCCTGGGAACGCCAGCTCAAAGGAAAACGTGGCCCTCGAGCTAAATAAATAGGTTTTCCCCCCACCTCCCACTTAGTCAAAGGAAGACAAGGCTTTCCTGCACCAGGTTAACCTGTGGAACTCCCTTCCACAAGGTGTGGCGGTGGTGACTAAAAACCAGGTTATTCTATTTTAAAAAATCAAAATGTCCCTTTGCCAAAACTCTTGACCCGTTAGGAGCGCAGCCTTGCATTTTAGGTCCATGTGGACTGCGGCTTCCTGGGGCGGGGCTTACGATTTTTTGTATGCTCTCTCCCCACATCCTGTCCTTTCCCCATCTCTCCCCATCTTGCACAGCGATGGAGAAACTCCAGGCAATAGCGACAGTCGTCTATGGGAAGCTGGACACTCTCTTCAAAGGCAACACTTACAAGCCAGGTAAATAAATATAAATCTAGATTATATAGAAAGGGTCTGCCTTTATCAGTTTGCCCAGATGAGGATGACCATTTATGGCAACTAGAATCGCCCGGGGCTGCGACTCCTCTGCAAAAGTCTGCAGATGTTCCTAATCACAGAATTGTAGAGTCGGAAGGGAACCCCAGAGGCATCTAGTCCAACCCCCTACGATGCACAAATCCTTTGCCCAATGTGGGGCTCAAATTCACAACCCGGAGGTTAAGATTCATTCTCTACCAAGTTTAAAAAAACACACACACATGCTGCCAGACCTTTCTCTCTCTCTCTTCTCCCCCCCAAAGGTGTCCTTCCGGAAATCCTGCGTTCCATTTTCGAGGAACAAGTCAAATTGCTACGGAATGCCATCATCGAAAGTGAGTGTTCCCTCCTTCCGCCGTTTGGCGTTTGCTTCCTGGATTATACATACCTGTGTTTCGGAGCAGGGCTTAGTTAAGAAGAGGCATGCTGAGAAAGCAGGGTGGCTCTTTCACGCAGAAGCCCCTCTCGCAGGCCGGCTTGTGGGAATGCCTCTTTCAAGATGGTGGACAACGGGAATGCATCGCCTCTGGATAAAATGCTAAAGCGTGTTAATTCTATTTTTGAAAGCAGTTGGTACCGTATTAAGCAGTTGGTCCCTTACCTTTCCCGCCCCAACCTGGCCAGAGTGATCCATGCAACGGTCACCTCCAGGCTTGACTACTGTAATTCGCTCTACGTGGGGCTGCCCTTGAGACTGACCCAGAAACTCCAGCGGGTGCAGAATGCTGCAGCGAGGCTCCTCATGGGGTCCTCGCTGCGAGATCACATTCACCCGGTGCTATACCAGCTGCACTGGCTCCCGGTGGAGTACAGGATCGGGTTTAAGGTGCTGGTTTAAACTTTAAAGCCCTATACGGCCTAGGACCCTCGTACCTATGGACCGCCTCTCCCGGTATGCCCCACGGAGGACCTTAAGGTCCACAAATGACAACACTTTGGAGGTCCCAAGTCGAAAGATTGGTCTCAACTAGGGCCAGGGCCTTTTCAGTACTGGCCCCGACTTGGTGGAACGCTCTGTCCCAAGAGACCAGGGCTCTGCGGGGCTTGACATCTTTCCGCAGGGCCTGCAAGACAGAGCTGTTGCGCCTGGCCTTTAGTTTGGACTTAGTCTGACCCTTCTGTTTCCCTCCCCTTATGGTTTTGATCTATGGGCTGCTTTTAAAATGAGGCTGCATTTTAAATTGCCTTTTAACCTGTATTTTAAATTGTTTTTCCCCCTTATTATGTTTTTACTTTAATTTTATTGGTGTTAGCCACCCTGAGCCCGGCTCTGGCCGGGGAGGGCGGGGTATAAATAAAAATTATTATTATTTATTATTATTATTACTACTTTGGAAATGCATGTAATATTGAGCAGCAAATAAGGCTGGATAGGGAAAGATCAAGGCCGGGGGAGTCAGCATGCAAATTTGTATTAAACTAGAATCAATTTGATATTCGATGGTTAAAATTTTTGAAGAGCAATAGCAAGTGAATTGGCACAACAAAGAGGGATGCCTCTTCTACCATAATGGCTTGTGGGAATGTCTCATTGCAAAGTTCAGCTCTTGGGAATCCCTCTTCTAATATGGCAGCCAGTGGGAAGCTGTCTAATTGACAGCTTGTGGGAAACTTTTTTCTTTTTGTATAATTTTTATTAATTTTCCAAATTTTAACAATTACTGTATACGATACCATTACATAACAACCATTGTATCATTTGCTCTTGCAGAGCTTTTGACTCCCTCCGTCCTTCTGCTACATTTTATTTTGCACATTTATAACATCTCCATCCTATATTTATCTTGTCTTAACGTTCACTTTTGTCTTAAATAGAATGTCGATTCTTCTCACGAAGCGAGTCTTATCTCGGTCCTGCTAGTGTCTTTATATGTGTACAATGAGTCTCTAAGTATAGTATAAATTTAGCCCATTCTTTCTGGAACACTTGATCACCCTGGTTCTGGATACGTCCCATCAGCCTTGCCATTTCTGCATACTCCATTGCCTTCGTCTGGCATTCTTCTATTGTCGGTCACTCCTGCTGTTTCCACTTTTGAGCTAGTAAAATTCTTGCCGCTGTTGTAGCATACATAAACAGTTTTTGATCTATTTTTGGTATTTCCAGTCCAACCATTCCTAACAGAAATGCTTCAGGTCTCTCTGGAAAGGTGCATTTTTTTTAACTCGTTATATATATCATTCCAGAAGACTTTAACCTCGTCACAAGTCCGCTTGTGGGAATGCATTTGAGCATAGTTTCATAATAAGCCATTCCTCCTTCGTTGGTAACACTGCTCCCCATCCATTCATGCAAATAATTAAGAGGAATAAATTTGTGTTGGGGGGTTATTAGTGAATTTGCTTTTCAGTATTTCCCTTGTTTTTTTGGGGGGGTTTCTTTTTGAGTGGTTTCTGCATTTCTCCTTGGGGTGGTTTGCTTGGTTTTCAAAATTATCAATGACCAAAAATAATAATGACACAATACCATTAGAAGCGCAGAAATTGAGATCAACAGGGGATGCATAACTTCTGGGAACGCCTTGCAGGAAATGAATCATAGCATTGAAGAGTTGGAAAGGGACCCCACGGGTCATCTAGTCCAACCCCCTGCAATGCAGGAATCTCAGCTCAAGCACTGTTAAGTTGATTGAATGCAACCGGTTAATCAACTGCACAGCTGTGGCCCAAATTTCAATTACTCTTGAGAGGTGGCCAGAGAGCCACGAGGGAACCCTACTGCCTAAAAACCGACTCACTTTCTCTCTCTCTTGCCTTTCCTTAGGTAGAGTGAAGTGTGAACGCCATTGTGGTAAGTGGGCTTTGTGGGGAGGGGTGCCGCCATCTTGAGTCATAGCAATGCCTTTTGTGTGCCTGAATGGAGAGAGAGGAACGTGTGTCGAGACCCTCTGACTTTTGTGGGGTCAAGACGTGAGCCTGGGGGTTTGCCAGCATCCATGATTGAAGGGTTAGCTGCAGGTATGAGTGGTTTATATAGGGACGTGGGTGGCGCTGTGGGTTAAACCACAGAGCCTAGGGCTTGCCGATCAGAAGGTCGATGGTTCGAATTCCCGCGATGGGGTGAGCTCCCGCTGCTCGGTCCCTGCTCCTGCCAACCTAGCAGTTCGAAAGCACGTCAAAGTGCAAGTAGATAAATAGGTACCGCTCCGGCGGGAAGGTAAACGGCGTTTCCGTGCGCTGCTCTGGTTCGCCAGAAGCAGCTTAGTCCTGCTGGCCACATGACCCGGAAGCTGTACGCCGGCTCCCTCGGCCAGTAAAGCGAGATGAGCACCGCAACCCCAGAGTCGGTCACGACTGGACCTAATGATCAGGGGTCCCTTTACCTTTTATGAGTGGTTTGGCGGTGAGTGCAGGTGCTCCTGTGGCGGTTAGGCATTGGTTCAATGTGGAGTGGAGGGGAGGTTGTCACACCTGCCCTCCAATGCGCAAAGGTATTCCATTAAAGGAATTCAGGGATTTCCCATGCTTTTGTCGACCCCTTTTGAGGGCTAGGGCCACGCAAGAGTCCCTGGGAGCATTTGGGGTGAGCTTGAGTCTCATCCTGGTTCATTGCTCCCCCACAATGTTTACCTGTACTGACAATATACTGGGGCCCAGTCGTCAGTGCTGTCCTGCTCAGGTCAGGTGCAGCTAGTTGGGAACCAATGCCTAGACAAACTACTCACTATCGGTAATCAATAAAGTTGTGGCCAAAATTATGCCAATAACCTAAATGGTGGTTAAGAGGGTTGCTGAATTGGTTTTGTGATTTCACACCCAAATATTACCTTCAAAGACGTGGCCCTTTATCGGGATGACGGGGTGCATCTCTCCTCATTGGGGAATGACATCTGGTTGGATATAGTTGCGTTGAAATTGAAGGTTTGGTTGGGTATGTGAGTGGTTTGGTGGCAAGCGTAAGGGCTCGATTGGCGGTTAAAGGTAAAGGGACTCCTGACTATTAGGTCCAGTCGTGGCCGACTCTGGGGTTGCGGCACTCATCTCGCTTTATTGGCCGAGGGAGCCAGCGTACAGCTTCCGGGTCATTTGGCCAGCATGGCTAAGCCGCTTCTGGCGAACCAGAGCAGCGCACGGAAACGCCGTTTACCTTCCCGCCGGAGCGGTACCTATTTATCTACTTGCACTTTGATGTGCTTTCAAACTGCTAGGTTGGCAGGAGCAGGGACCGAGCAACAGGAGTTCACCCCATTGCGGAGATTCAAACCGCCGACCTTCTGATCGGCAAGTCCTAGGTTCTGTGGTTTAACCCACAGCGCCACCCGTGTCCCCGATTGGCGGTTAGGCATTGGTTAAAACTAAAGGCTAGTGGCCCCTGGGTGATGGCCTGCAAAAGAAGGCGGCCCCTCAGCTGAAAGAAACTGCCCCACCCTTCAAAACATGGGTTTGGACTTTGCATCGCAAATGATGCTCTGGGGTTTTAATCTCTGATGCAGAGGAAATGGGTCCATCCATGGCACTGGAAGATGCTGCGGCACCAGCCTCAGCCAGCCGGCCACCTGCCTCCCATCTTCCTCCTCCTCTGTCTCAGTGTTGCCATCCTAGAACAGCAGGGAGGGAGGAGGAGAACAGGGACAAAACCAAACAGAGCCCTCTCTGCTTGTCATTGGCTCTGGCGCCACCTGCTGTGGGACTCCTGTCCTGATCTACCTGCCCAAAGGAGGGCTTGCAGGAGTGGCCGGCGCAGGGATACCAAAGGAGGATGTCAAAGACGTCCGCATGGCCGGTTCTACTGCTTTATTACAACTGATCCAGAATGCGGCTGCCAGACTGGTGACGGGGAGGAGCCGCTGGGACCACGCAACACCATCTTGTTTATACCCCGCCCATCGGGATGGGTTTCCCCAGCCACTCTGGGCAGCTTCCAACACATATAATAACATAATAAAACATCAAGCATTAAAAACTTCCCGATACAGGGCTGCCTTCAGATGCCCCCTAAAATTGTATAGTTGCTTATCTCCTTGACATCTAATGGAAGGACATTCCACAGGGAGGGTGCCACCACCGAGAAGGCCCTCTGCCTGCTTCCCTGTATCCTCACTTCTCACAGTGAGGGAACCACCAGAAGGCCCTCGGAGCTGGACCTCAGTGTCTGGGCTGAGTGATGGAGGTGGAGACGCTCCTTCAGGTCTACTGGGCTGAGGCCATTTAGGGCTTTCAAGGTCAGCACCAACACTGTGAATCATTCCCAGAAATGCACTGGGAGCCAATGTAGGTCTTTCACAGGCATAGGCAAACTTGGCCCTCCAGATGTTTTGGGACTACAATTCCTATCATCCCTGACCACTGGTCCTGTTAGCTAGGGATGGTGGGAGTTGTAGTCCCAAAGCATCTGGAGGGCCGAGTTTGCCTATGCCTGGTCTTTCAGGACCGGTGTTATATGGTCCCAGCAGCTGCTCCCAGTCACCTATCTGGCTGCCATATTTGATGTTTTCTGTTTTTCTGTTTTTGTTTTACAGGAATAAAGCAATACGAAGCCGTTTCTTGTGTGACGTGCAACACCACCAAGCCAGCTTGCTTTGGATATAATTGCGAGTAAGAATTCTCTCTCTCTTAGGAGAGCCAGTGTGGTGTAGTGGTTAAGAGTGGTGGACTCGTAATCTGGTGAACCGGGTTCGGGTCTCCGCTCCTCCACATGCAGCTACTGGGTGACCTTGGGCCAGTCACACTTCCCTGAAGTCTCTCAGCCCCACTCACCTCACAGAGTGATTGTTGTGGGGGAGGAAGGGAAAGGAGATTGTTAGCCGCTTTGAGACTCCTTTGGGTAGTGGAAAAGTGGGATATCAAATCCAAACTCCTCTTCTTCTTCTTCTCTCATTCCCACGTTAGAAAAAATACAATTACAAATGGCATTTGGGAGAGGCTGATTCCCATAGCAGACCCTTTCCTGCAATTATTCTCCACTGTGTGAAATCTAAGTCAAAGGTTCCCAAACATTATTTTTTTTGCGGGAGTGTGGGGAGTACGTCCCCATTGGTTCCACTAACTCATTCCCAGGGAGGAAAGCAGTATTCAGAATAGCAGTTTGATAATGTGATAGAAATTTTATGGTCTTAGATATATGGTAATGTTCATAACTGCACATACATAGATCAACACAGGAAGACCAACCTGGAACCATTTTGATTCCTAAACTGACCAAATCCTTTCTCTGCAAGGTTAAACTGGAAAAGCCTCCCCATTGTCTCTTTCCTCACAAATCCTGTCTCAAGGATATGTCTGTTTGAATAAGGTGTGAGCCTGTGACCTGGCCCAGGAAATAAGTATTTTACCACTACAAAAGAATGGCCAGGCTCCCCGGGAAATCCAATCAAGTAACTTGCCAGACAGGAGATAAACTATGACAGGAGAAAAACAACATTTAAATTTATGTGAACAACATTTAAATTTCTGTGATGTAGGTGGGATGTATCTGAGGGGTGGTCTTAGGTTACACCCCTTCTGTGATGTATGCATAATGTTTCTGGGGGTGGTCTTGATCTAGAGGATGGGAATTTCAAAAGTCTTTATAAGCCATTGCACAGCAATTTTGTGGGTCCTCTTCCTCTCCTGCGTGTGAGGGGAGTACCCTGTTGCAACAGATCAATAAAGATCAAGCTTACTAGCTGCTTTGCTTCTCAATATTCTCTAGTTGGCCTCTGTTATTTTCTCCTACCAATAGGGAACCTATGTAAGGACTCTATATGGGCTCTTGGATACCCCATAAGGGGGAAAGGGCATATTTATTATTTACAACACAAGGAAGATAATAACACCATGAAACTCAAAATCAGTAACAATTAAACTGCACATTTATTCAAAATCCAATTAGAACAATTGAGTTTAATTAATTCAACAAAACTGATTTCCTCATCCATTCTTCTTTGGCAGGAGCTTATTCCTTCCATTTTTGTGCATTAAGAAATGCTAGCTGCTCTCTTTACTTACATAAACAGCTTAATCATCTTTTTTGAAACTTCTGTCCCTATAATCCCTAAGAGCAAAGCTTCACTTCTTTCTTTTTTTGTATAATCACTTTGAGCATCTTTTTTATCTCATCATATATCCTACCCCAAAATACGGTACCCTCGGCTTTCTTACAAGTCCAGCACCTACATATGGGGACGGGGGGACGGGACCAATTTGCTTGTTTACACTTCCAGCAGTTAGAACACTGTCCCACCATCTCGTCCTCTGCCGTCCCCTTCTCCTTGTGCCTTCCATCTTTCCCAGCATCAGGGTCTTTTCCAGGGAGTCTTCTCTTCTCATGAGGTTACCAAAGTCTTGGAGCCTCAGCTTCAGGATCTGTCCTTCCAGTGAGCACTCAGGGCTGATTTCCTTCAGAATGGATGGGTTTGATCTTCTTGCAGTCCATGGGACTCTCAAGAGTCTCCTCTAGCACCAGAATTCAAAAGCATCAATGCTTTGGCGATCAGCCTTCTTGATGGTCCAGCTCTCACTTCCATACATCACTACTGGGAAAACCATAGCTTTTACTATACGGACCTTTGTTGGCAAGGTGATGTCTTTGCTTTTTAAGATGCTGTCTAGGTTTGCCATCGCCTTTCTCCCAAGGAGCAGACGTCTTTTAATTTCGTGGCTGCTGTCACCATCTGCAGTGATCATGGAACCCAAGAAAGTAAAATCTCTCACTGCCTCCATTTCGCCCCCTTGTGTTTGCCAGGAGGTGATGGGACCAGTGGCCATGATCTTAGTTTGATCTTCCATTAAAAACTGCAGAAAAGACGATGAATTGAAAGTGCAGGCGATGGGGGTACCTTTCCCTCTTTATCTGCTTGTTTCATAACACAAAACTAGGGCAAGGTAATTGCAGCCAGACAGGTTATAATTTTAGAATATCTAACTGTGAAGATGCACAGAATGAAAGGGTTTGAGGTCAGTGAGAAAGAGGAGGATTGCTTTGAGAAGGTAATGAATTATTTGGGTAGGTCTGAACAATTAAATGGGGCAATTAAAATGTTAAAAGTAAAAAAACAACTTGTGGATGGAGGAGTGTTAACGTACCGTATATAAATTTGTACATATGGTTGATCTGAATGTGTTGTTATTGATTATGTATACCCGATGTATCAGCCGCCTGGGGGGGTTCACTGTTTGTGTTTGGTTGTTGGTAAAAAATAAAAATTAAAGTAAATAATATAAACTAATAAGGTAAAGGTAAAGGTACCCCTGCCCGTACCGGCCAGTCGTGTCCGACTCTAGGGTTGTGCGCTCATCTCACTCAAGAGGCCGGGGGCCAGCGCTGTCTGAAGACACTTCCGGGTCACGTGGCCAGCGTGACGAAGCTGCTCTGGCGAGCCAGCACCAGCACAGCACACGGAAACACCGTTTACCTTCCCGCTATAAAGCAGTACCTATTTATCTACTTGCACTTTAGGGGTGCTTTCGAACTGCTAGGTGGGCAGGAGCTGGGACCGAACGACGGGAGCTCACCCCACCGCAGGGATTCAAACCGCCGACCTTTCGATCGGCAAGCCCTAGGCGTTGAGGCTTTTACCCACAGCGCCACCAGCGGCCCTCATAAACTAATAATCATTAAAAAAACAGGGGAGGCTGGTTCATTAGGGGAAGTGGCTTCAGTCTGGCCCTGACTCCCAGGAAGTCTCTCCAGCCACAACCCCACATTCTGACCCCAAGTTTCTGTCCCCTGTTTCCACCCCCCAGGTCCTCTGAAGACTGGGAAGACGCCTTGAAGGGCCTCTACGAATACATGTGAGTTCTCCAGGGGCTGTGCAGGGTTGGCGGTGGTGGGCAGGCATTAGGGAGGCAAGAAAGGGGAGCAAGCAGTCCCTGGGCAAGTTTCTAGTCCCTGTGTTTCTGGAGACAGGGTGAACGAAGCGAGACAGGGAGAGGGGCCACCAGGGACCCTCCCCAGGTTGTTGGACTCATCCCTGGCTTGGGGCCAAGGGGAATTGGAGTCGGCAACATCGGGTGGGTCACAGGTTTGCCGTGGTCTAAGAAGATGCATTCTCTAGTGCAGTGTTTCCCAACCTTTTTTGGGCAAAGGCACACTTGTTTCATGAAAAAAATCTCGAGGCACACCACCATTACAGCCCCGTGACGTCAGCGCGCAGCGTCACGCCGGGAGGGACGCACGAAAGTATAAGTTTCAATTTTTCCCCCTCCCCCTTGCCTTCCTTCTGTGCCAACCGCCAAAAAGCCAAGAAAAAAGCCAAGACTTTAGGGCAGCAGGTCGACACGGAAGAAGCTCCTACCTAAGGACAGGTGCGACGGCCGTGTCCTCTTCTGCCACACTTGGCAGCCCTGCCTCACGGTCGTGACTCCCACCCTGATTTCTCCCCGCAGGTCGAGCGGCACAGGCAGCCCAATGTGTCCAGCCCAGACACAAGCCCCGCTTCCCCACTCTAGATCCTGAATGCGACCAAGTGCTCTGGACTCCCGAGCAGGGTGGGAAAGAGGACTCACATCTGGTAGCCTCCGGGCTCCTCGCCTGCTCGAGGGATGGCATTGCAGGCAAGCTGCTGGCCGTCGCCATCGCCGCCCCCTCATGCGAGTGGACCTGCCCAGAGTGGTGGGCCGGGGGAGGCTCGCTCTCTGTGGGGATGTGGCCCGCACGCGCGGCCCCGCTTCCTCCTGCCCAGGGCTGAGCTCCTTACCCGCGATCTCGGTCTCGCGCACGCGGATCCCACTTATTCCGAAGCTCGCGCCACTAGCCGGGGCTCTCACGCCGTGCCAGGGCGAGGCGGCGCGGCCCACTGACGTCATCGCGGCTCGCCGCCGCCCTCGACTTCCCTGTTCCCTCCCCTCCCTCGGGTCGCCGTGGTTACCGAGGACTGCAAGCTGCTCGGGCGAGCGTGGGGCATTAAGTGGGAGAAGGAAAATTAAAATTAAAACTCGCCTGAAGGCCGCCTCTCCGGATATCTTTCGAATTTTTTTATTTTTCCCGCGGCACACCAGGCAACGTCTCGCGGCACACTAGTGTGCCGCGGAACACCAGTTGGGAAACACTGCTCTAGTGCATGCAAGCGATGGAAGAATGCTTCTGTTCAGGACAGGTGCTTCCTTCTGGGAACGGGGAATGCCCCTCCTTGCAGCTGGGGCAGGGGGAATTTGCATCCCTCCATAGATAATTGGCGGAAGGCCTCTATTCGCAAGATGCATTCCCTCCTGAGGAAGGAGAATGCCCCTTGGAAGATATCTTCATACTTGCTGGGAATGCAATATCGTATACCGTATTTTTCGCTCTATAAGACTCACTTTTTCCCTCCTAAAAAGTAAGGGGAAATGTGTGTGCGTCTTATGGAGCGAATGCAGGCTGTGCAGCTATCCCAGAAGCCAGAACAGCAAGAGGGGTGGCTGCTTTCACTGCGCAGCGATCCCTCTTGCTGTTCTGGCTTCTGAGATTCAGAATATTTTTCTTCTTGTTTTCCTCCTCCAAAAACTAGGTGCGTCTTGTGGTCTGGTGCGTCTTATAGAGCGAAAAATACAGTAATTCTTTTTCGACTGGTAGCTGCACATCTAGTGATAGCAGATCCCTGGAAATCCCAGGTGTTGCGACTTCTTGAGATGTGGTTCCATAATATTAGTTCGGAACGTCTAACTGGGCTTGGAAGAGTTGCAAATGGGGTTATAAAGGAAAATAAAACCTGGTTTCCCTTCTTTTCATATGAAAGGGGGGGGGGGAGAAAATAAAGCTCTCCCACCAGCCTCACAAACCTGTCTGTGGAGAACCTGCCAATGTTTCAAGACCATGTAAAATGACATTTGCCTGACACCTGCTTCATAGAATACAGGCAGGTGGTTGGAAAACTTTTGTAATGTCTCAGGTTTTAATCAAGACATTGCGGCTGGGGTATTTTGAACCGTTTTGGAACTGCTCTTGTTACTGCTCTGTGTTGCTTTGTGCTGCAGTCTCTGCATTTTTAATAATAATAATAAAAAGACGGAAAGAAGGAAGGAAGGAAGGAAGGAAGGAAGGAAGGAAGGAAGGAAGGAAGGAAGGAAGATCCTTCTTAGATCAAGGATCAGTGGCACTCTCATTTTTGCAGAGCTCCAACTCCTGCCATTCCCAGCTCCCGGCCATGTGGGCTGCTGGGGCTACTGGAAGTTGCAGTCCCGGCAATATAATGAGGGCCACAGGGCCCCATCTCGGCCCTTCGGACTTTCACCTTACGGAGGTCAACAATGCCACGTCCACACACAGGCGACAAGCCCCAGGCTGTTTGGGGGAAGCAGAACGCAGCAGCCCTGCCCACCTTTAGAAAGAACTGGCTGGTGGGGGCTCTACAGGATTCCCATTAGGTGGCGGCACCAAGACTTGGGAACTCACTGCCACTTGATATCGGGCAGGAACTTCCGCGGTACTCTTTGCGGTGCCTACTTAAAACATATTTGATTAGGGAGGACTATCCAGACACATTATTTATTAATTGTTATTATTAATAGTAATAATAATATCCTGCCCATCTGGCTGTGTTGCCCCATAAACACTGGTGTGTTTGATCTCCTTTTAGTGCTGTCGCTCATTTTAATTACCTTTCAAGTGCTTTTAGCCATTTTTAAAACTGTTTCTACCAGTAAAATTTAATGTTTCTTGCACGCCACTTAGAGGTTTTTGTTACAACCCAGCGATATAAGAAATTGGTTGAAGAAATATAAAGAAATAAAGATGCCTGTTATATCCTGTTTTATCCTTCTCTTCCTCTCTCTCTCTCTCTCTCACAGATACAGTTTGACAACGTAAGTTGGGCGTTTTCACGCATGTTTTGGAGCAAAGTTTTCCGCAGCGATGAAAATTTGAGCGCAGGAAATGGAAGATTTTGCCCCCTTCTGCAAGGCCCCCTTGGCTGCGCCCCGTGTGACACTCTTGCGAGGAAGGGGGTGGCAGGAGTCCCCCTGACGGACAGCGGAGGGGCAGCAGTTTTCCGAAATGACCAGCTGGGGGCTCTGGGTTGGCCCCCGAGGTGGAAAAAAACAAACAACACACCACTTTTGTCCAGGTTGCCAAAAGTGAAACATTGAGCAGCTGAATCCACATAAGGGAGACCCAGCCTGAGGTGCAAGATGAGCTGGGGTAGCTCAGTGGGCAGAAGACGAGACTTAATCTCAGGGTTGTGGGTTCAAGTCCTGCACTGGGCAAAAGATTATTGGATCACAGAGGGTTGGACTAGATGACCCACATTGTGTTGTGTGTGTGTGTGCAGAATATGACATTTGTGTGCATGTGTGTGCGTTAAGATCCTCAGAAATGATCTTGCTAGGAACTCTTTTTTTTACTTAAGACTTTTAAATTTATTTTTCAAAACTTTAACCAATTAATTTCAATTTTCAAATTTGTTATACATTTCTCTTTTGATTTGACTTTCCGCCTTTTCTTCCACGCTGTTTTTCATACCAATCCCTTTCACAAGTATAATATCACACATTTCATATTCCTCCATTTCATCTATTATCGCTATCTTCCCGTTGCTCAAATTTCAAATCCTGCTTGTGATTTCATTTGGTTACGATATTTTTTCCCCTTCAAATAATCCAAAATTTCAGAGTTTCTTTTTTAAAATTAGCTGGGAACTCTTCCAGGTGATTTTTTAACACCTGGCTGCTGTCTTCACAGGAACCCAGGCGAGTGGTCGATGGCACTGAAGCAACTCCCGGGATTTAGGTAGGCACCCATTTCCTTGAAAGCCACTGGAAAAACTGAGGTACTCCCCCACAAAACGTAGGGCAACAGTTGCGGGTGGGGAAACAGCGGCCGGGAGAATGAGTTTGTGGGAGAGGGGGGAGGCTTATAGATTAAATTAACGAATAGCTGCCGAGACGATATAGCAGGGACTCAGTCCTAGAAAGGAGTGGCCCCTTTCTGGGATAATTGTTCCGTCCCAGGAAGCGGCGCCAGAGCTGAAGGGAAGACAGGACGGCCATCCTGTCAGGGATGTTGTGCTTTACAGGATTTTACTTTGGGATTTTATGTCGCATCCGGCGTTCAGCAGGGGGGCTGTTCAACGCCTATCGATTCCTGCTGATGCAAGATTGCAGCAGCTAAGCAGGTGTAAACCTGGAATAATAATATTATTATTATTATTATTATTATTATTATTATTATTATTATTATTATTATTATTTATACCCCGCCTATCTGGCTGGGTTTCCCAAGCCGCTCTGGGCGGCTTACAGCACCTACAGGGTCTACAAGAGGGAGGCAGATACAGGGGGAAGGAAAGGAATTAGGATCCACAGCATCAATGTGTTCAAGAAACCACCAAGAACATTTTTAGAGCATTCCAGTGGGGGTCTCTTCCAGCTGTACAATTCTGTCTTTCTCTTCCCATCCCTTTATCTTTCAGCCACTGCACATCTACAAGGTAAACAACCGGCCTGGAGGAAAGATGGACGGGAGTTGCTGAGCCAAAAGTTGTTGTGCTTGTGGCTGCGTGCGCAGGCGACATTATAAAAGCCCACGGCTTCCCCCAGAGAGAGTCCCAAAGACAGCTGTAGTTTGCCCCTTGCAAAGCGACAATTCCCAGCGCCCTGATTCTAATGCCATAATGCTGCAAGTCTATGGTGTGGCCACGTTTTGAATGCCCTGTTCCGTTCTGGTCACCTCGCCTTGAAAAGGAGATTGTAGAGCAGGGGAAAGTTCAGAAAAGGGGCAACCCGAATGATCGAGGATGGAGAATGGTTGCAGTATTTGGTGCTTTTCAGTGCAGAAGGGGGTTACCTGAGAGAAGTTCATGCATAGTATGGAGAAAGCAGATACAGTGGTACCCCGCAAGACGAACGCCTCGGAAGACGAAAAACTCGCTAGACGAAGGAGTTTTTCGTTTTCTTAGCCCCTTCGCAAGACGCATTTCCCTATGGGCTTGCTTCGCAAAACGAAGCTTGCCCTGCAAGCTCCAGGGATAGCGGGGAAGCGCAGCGCGTCTTCCCCGCTGTCCCCGGACCTCTTTTGAAGCAAGGGGCGGCGGGGAGAAGATCGCTTCTCCCCGTTGCCAGCCCCACAATCTCTGGGGACAGAGAGGAAGGCGCACACGCCTTCCCCTCTGTCCCCGGACCCCTTTTGAACCAAGGGGCGGCAACGGGGAGAAGCAATTGTCCCCGCTGCCCCTTCCCTTGCTTTAAAACAGGTCCGGGGACAGAGGGGAAGGCGTGCTGCGCTTCCCCTCTGTCCCCGGTCTCCATAGGAACGCATTGATTGATTTTCAATGCATTCCTATGCGAAACCGTGCTTCGCAAGACGAAAAACTCGCAAGAAGAAAAAACTTGCGGAACGAATTAATTTCGTCTTGCGAGGCACCACTGTAGAGGGAAGTTTTTCTCTGCCTCTCAGAACACTTGAACTTTTAGATATCTGACAAAGCTTGGAGGATTCAGGACTGATGAAAGTCTTTTGTCGCACGGCACAGTTGAACTGTGGAACTCACTGCCACTGGATAGCTTTAAAGGAGGATTAGACAAATTCATGGCCATCGATGGCTGCTAGCCAAGAAGGCTATGCTCTGTCCACCACGATTGGAGGCAGTAATGCTTCGAATAACAACTGCTGGAAAACACAAGAGAGGAGAGGGCTCTTGTGTTCGAATCACGCCTTTGGGTTTCCCAGAGGCATCTGGTTGGGCACTGCAAGAAGAGGATGCTGGACTAGATAGGCCATCTAATATTCTTAAAAGACAGCTCCCAGCACTCTCTGGCAGAAAATCGTGCTCTTTCTTATTCAGTTCACTAATGAATTGCTTCCCATGAGGCATCTGGAAGTGATTCGCAATGCAAGGATTGTTAACATATATAAAAACAGCTTAAAACAATCACACTTTGAAACTATGATAAATATTGTTGCACGCCACTCCAATCTCTTGAGCAGCGAGAGATTCCAAGGTGGGTTCCTGCATCTACCCAGGGCTGAGTTTCCCTGGAAAGGAGGTCAGTAGAATCCCACTTCTGACACCAGTGTTGCGCACACCCAAATCTCCAAGTGGCGAGAGACTCCAGGGGTTCTGGGCACTAACTCAGGGTTTGGCCTCCTTGAAATAAAGGCCAGGGGAGACAGTGGTGTCTTTAGTAGTTTTATCGACACATGTATACAACCGGCACATGGCGTCGAACTTAACTCCGTGTCTTCCTCTGTTTCCGCAGACCAGAGAACCTGAACTTTACGAGTAAGTTTCCAAAACTTTGTCTTGGGTGCTGCAGGGGGCATGGCTTCTTCACGACTTATGGGCTGATGTGAAATAGAGGCATTCTCTTCCATTAGCAAGGAAGACCTCTTCTTAGATCAAGAAGGATGAAACATCTCTGGCCCATCCAAAGTTGTTGGACTCTCATCCCCCGTCCTCCCAGACCACGTGTGAGATGGGAGTAATGGTTCCATCTTAAAGAGGCATTCCCTTTCGAGGGATTGTGCCTTTTCTTCAAAAAGGGACATAGGAACCTCTGTGGCTGCAGACTCCTGGCAAACTGCCACCATCCAGCAAGCCCAAAAATCAGGAATGGTCCTCCAACACCTGGGGAGGCCACAGGTTCCTAATCTGTTATGCCACCATGTTGCAAAGATGGAAAGGTGGAGTCAGAAGGGCACTGCATGCCGGTTTTAGGGACAGCAGCTACAAGGGGGGTCTCTAATGCCTGCTTTCTGTCCCCTAGGTATAGAAAGCACCCTCTCGAAAAACTGGCTGAACTTGATGGCGCTGAAGGAGCTTGAGGGAGAGACCCCCGTTCTCCAGCTCCTCGCCCCGATCTGCTGAATTCTTCCCTTTTCCGCAATGTTCTATGGAGAGCCCACTTTGATGTAATAAAATTATGGATAGAGAGACCCCTGCAGTTTGGTGCCGTGAAGCTTGGCTGTATTAGAAAGATGGTCTCATTGGTTTTACAAACAGCCAGGAACCTGGTAGATCCCTCCCAACTACATATGAAACGGTCTGGGTCTTTTGAAAGGGAAAATGGGATCAACTGAAAAAGGGGTTCGACGGCTCAAGAAAAAACGAAACGGTGAATTAATGGGTAAGTAACCAAAACTGACGTGGGTGGCGCTGTGGGTTAAACAGCTGAGCCTAGGACTTGCCGATCAGAAGGTCGGCATTTCGAATCCCCACGACAGGGTGAGCCCCCGTTGCTCGGTCCCTGCTCCTGCCAACCTAGCAGCTCGAAAGCACGTCAAGTGCAAGTAGATAAATAGGTACTGCTCCGGCGGGAAGGTAAACGGCGTTTCCGTGCGCTGCTCTGGTTCGCCAGAAGCGGCTTAGTCATGCTGGCCACATGACCCGGAAGCTGTACGCCGGCTCCCTCGGCCAATAAACCGAGATGAGCGCCGCAACCCCAGAGTTGGCCATGACTGGACCCAATGGTCAGGGGTCCCTTTACCTTTACCTAAAACCGAAGCTTTTCCAAAGCATGGGGAAAGATGAAAGACCTTTCAAGAGTCAGCTGGTTTTGTAATTTTATTGGATCATCTCAACATACACACACGCACACACAAAAATTGGTACAGCAGCTTTGTGGCGTTTTTCTCTTTCGGGGATTTCAGGGGAATGGGGGGAATGTCGATAGCAAATAAGTTTGATTTTCTTCTTCCTCCCCCCCCCCAAAAAAACATAACACATCATACAGTTTTTTAAAGGTTCTAGAATCACCAAAAGGTTTCTGCAAGAGAACATAATCTACATGCTAAAGTGAGGGGTTTTTTTTCATCCAGGAATATATGTACACATATATAGATATATATATACTTCTTTTTTTTAATCCACTAATTCCAAGGAACCTTTGTCCTTTTTAAGACAAATTTAAAAGACGCCGTGCAGTCTCCCTCCCAACGTGCACGCAAAAATCCGGACTAAGCCACGGAAGGTTGACCAGGAGCTTCTCCCCGCCCCAAAGAACTTTTTTAATACTTTTATCAAGCAACATGGGTCCCGACGATAATGTGGGAGAGGGGGAGACCTGGATCCATCTGATTAATGAAGTTCTGCCAGAGCAAAACGAACCCCTCTTTCCCCAAGCCGGCAAGCATTTTGCAAGTGGTTTTGGATTTTATAAAACCCAAACCTACCCCTAAATCATAGGGGGGGTGGAAGGTTGAGGCACCCGTGTCTTGAAACAAGCAGCACATCAAAAAGCAAGCCAGAGACCAGGGTTTTCATGCTTGTTTCTGTGCTCTCTCTCTGCATCCCACAAAATATACTTTATTTGGGGGTGGGGGTGGGGAGGTTCAAAAATGATATTTTGCGAAACAGGTGGGTTCTTTAAAAAAAATTGCTAAGTGCCATATTCCTTTCAACAGTGATCAAGCTGATTTCAAAATAAATAAGTCGCCGGCTCACTTCCGTCTTATGGGACAGGCGCGTGGGGGAAGGTTTGTCGAAACTAGAGGGAAGAAGACTTGTTTCCAGCCAAGAATCTCCAAAAAACACAAGGAAGCCGTCCCACAAGCTGTGCGGTCTGCCAGTTTCTCGGACCAATGTCACGCAGCTGATCGATTATAGAGTCTTGATCTGGGAGTTCAGAAGCCCAAGGCACAGTTTATGGGAACGGGTGGAATATGGGGCGAAAAGGGATAACCTGGTGGGAGGACCATGGCCAGAGCAACCAAAGGGGTCAACCTAACATGGTAAGCCAAATAAAAATGTCAAAAATAAAGTTGGGGGGTGGGATCCACACACAAAACCAAGAGACAATGAACCTTTGGATTTCCAGTTTTCTTTTTGCTACATTCTAAACAAAATAAAAACTTCAGGAATGTGAAATTTTGCTCTCTCTCTGTCTCTCTCTAAGCGGACATCACAAAGACCCACGGGAAGGGGAGTTGATCGATCTCGCAGAACGGGAATGAATCCCGTCCTCGGAAGGCAGGAGGGGAGGCAAACACAACTGGATTGTGGTGGGAGGGAAGCCAGGGCTTAAAAAAAACAAAAACCCCAACAACAGCAACAACAAAACTGATTACAGGTACAGTCAGCCTGGATGTGGACCACCACACCATCACTATTGAGGGCGGTGACCCAGAAGAGCAACCGTGAAATTGGAGCCGATTTAAAGAGATGCGGTGCCTGCGATTTCTTGGGTTGCTCAGCACCACACCTCATGGGGCCATGGACTGTGGCAAGGATCTCTCGGGCGGCTGCGTCAACGATGGCAGGGCGCTTCTCTGGCACAGAAGAAGTTCCCCACCACGGCTGGTCGAAAAGTTCAAAATGGAATGTGAGGGAAGGGGGGGAGAGAGAGAAAAGACTACAGCTTCGGGATGTGTAAACCGCCAGAACCGAAAAACAACACCCACCCCCACGCCCCGCGTCCCAGGGCGGAGTGGGAGTGGGAAAATGCCCGCCCCCAGGAGGGGCAGGTAGGGGAGGACCGTACGTGCGCATGGGGAGAGAGAGGGGAGGGGAGAGGAATCTTCATCGCTCGGCCGGATTCAGTCTGTGTGAGCCTCACGACACTCCTCTCTCGGGGGGAGGCGGGGGGAGGAGAACGGATCGCACCAGTTTCTCGGGAGCAACTCAGCACTTCGACAAGGTCTCCTTGAGTTCAGACAGCAGGTTGCCCAGCAAGGTCGGCTCGTTGCACTTGGCATCGACGGAGACGGAGTTCTCTCCCTTTGGAAAGAGAGCGGATTTTCATTTGTGGGTGTGGAGAGAGATGAGACAGCAAACACAGGTTGTGGCCAACCAACACAATCAAATAATAATAATAAAAATAAAAATTATTTATATCCCACCCTCCCCAGCTGAAGCCAGGCTCAGGGCAGCTAACAACAATAAAAATAACACAGTATTCTAAAATCAATTCATTTTAAAATCAGTTCAAAATCAAATTAATGGCAACCATGCGCTAGAGTTCTGTGAGGATTGCCAGAGGAGGGGGTCAGACTGTGCCTTGGCCAAAGGCCTGGCGGAACAGCTCTGTCTTGCAGGCCCTGCGGAAAGATGTCAAGTCCTGCAGGGTCCTAGTCTCTTGTGACAGAGCGTTCCACCAGATTGGAGCCGCAGCCAAAAAAGCCCTGGCTGTAGATGAGACCGGCCTAACCTCTCTGTGGCCTGGGACCTTCAGGATGTTTTTATTTGAAGACCGTAAGTTCCTCCATGGGACATACCGGGAGAGGCGGTCCCGTAGGTACGAGGGTCCTAAGCCATATAGGGCTTTAAAGGTCAAAACCAGCACCTTAAACCTGATCCTGTACTCCACTGGGAGCCAGTGCAGCTGGTATAGCACTGGGTGAATGTGATCCTGCGGCAAAGACCCCGTAAGGTGCATTCTGCACCCGCTGGAGTTTCTGGGTCAGTCTCAAGGGCAGCCCCACGTAGAGCGAGTTACAATAATCCAGTCTGGAGGTGACCATCGCGTGGATCACAGTGGCTAGGTCAGGGCGAGAGAGGTAAGGAGCCAATTGCTTAGCTTGGTGCAGATGAAAAAATGCCGCCTTTGTTATAGCTGCAATCTGCGCCTCCATGGAGAGGGAGGTATCGAAGATTACACCCAAACTCTTAACGGACGGTGCTGGCACTAATTGCACCTCCACAAGAGATGGGAGTTGCCCCCTCAATCCCATATCGTCCCGTCCCAGCCAGAGGACCTCTGTCTTCGAAAGATTTAACTTCAACTGGCTCCCACGTAACCATCCAGCCACAGCTTCCAAACATCTGGTCAGTGTCTCTGGGGCCGAGTCAGGATGGCCATCCATCAACAGAAGGAGGTGGAGCGACTCCTCCAGGATGCAATCATCACCCCACTGTGTCTGCCCCCCCCAGCTTACCTTTTTAACTAACAGACAGACATGATGGCCCTGGATAGAACGGCTATACATCGATGCGCAGGACCCCACTCGCTCGACAACTGAGGGGGAAGGAAAGAGAAGGCGTTTAAGATGGGGCGTCTTCGTCCTCTCCCTCAAAAACACGGCTAAGCTTTCAGGAGTGTGAATGAGAAGAAGGAGGAGGAGGAGGAGGAGAGCTTACTCCCTCTGCCCATATCAGCAAGAAGCACTAGTTAGATCTCCTGGAGGGAAGAAGCAGCGCTCAAAGCAGGGACTCATGCTGAGAAGCGACGGAAGGCCTCCTGGTGGGCAAGTCTCCTTGGAGTGCTCACTCCTGATGCAGAGAGAGACGACACGTAAAGGCAGCAAAACCCCCCCAACCCCCCTTACCTGCCAGTCATAAGGACTTAAGCAGGGTGTGGAAACCCTCAAATTTGCCCCTAAACAAATGCCAACAGCTGGGGGTGAAAATCACGTCTGGCAACCAATCTATTGAAATTATTTTCAGCTCTCCAACCCACTATGGCAGTCTATCCTGGGTTGTTGTTTTTTTGAGGAGGGGGAACTTACTGCAGCAGGAACCCACCTGAGAAGTGATGGTGGAAGCAGATTTTCGCCAGGAGGTGGTGGAAAGGCATGGTGATGCTGTCGACTTTGAAGGATCTGGCGTGCAGGTCCCCCGACTCCAGCAACTTGGCATAAGCATCACTTGGGGGAGGAGAAATCAAGGTGAATTGAGCGGCAAAGGAAGCTGGGGGAAGAGGAGTGGGCCGGGACACCATCTCTGGCTTGCCCACTTCTGCCCAAGGTGGGTAGGAAAAGCTTTTTAATGAAATTGTTCATTATGATCTTGGGACCAACCAGCCCTAGCGAGCAAACGCACACTCATGCCGACACACAAAGATGGGGGGGGGGGAGCATCAAAGTAAGTACATTCAAATGATGTTGCAAAGAAATACGGTTCATAACAAAAGATGAAGAGGTAAAAGCAGTAATGATACGCTGGGCAAGAGACTTTGGTTACAATATACAGTATGATGATTGGATGAAATTATGGAATGAAAGGCTAAAATTTACGGCATGTATTGCGTTGAAAGAAAATGTAATGAAAATGTTTTACAGATGGTATATAACGCCAGTTAAACTGGCCAAAATGTATAAAACATGCAATAAGTGTTGGAAATGTAAAGAAAAAGAAGGTACTTTCTATCATATGTGGTGGGAGTGTAAAAAGGTGAAAGACTTCTGGGAAATGATATACAATGAATTGAAAAAGATGTTGAAATATACGTTCGTTAAAAAACCAGAAGCCTTTCTATTAGGAATGGTAGGAAACGAAATCAATAAGAGAGACTGTAAACTGTTGCAATATGCAGTGACTGCCGCAAGGTTACTTCTGGCCCAAAGATGGAAAGAGGAAGAAATTCCAACAGTGGAAGAATGGAGAAGGAAATTGACTGAATATGCAGAATTGGACAAATTGACTGGGAAGATTCGATACCAGAAAGACCAAAAGTTTATCGAGGACTGGGGGAAATTTACAGAATATCTGAAAAATATGTGTGATGCACAGACAACGCTTGTTGGTTTTGAAGAGACTCTGTGAAATAGTAAGAAATATTGCAAAAAAAGAGAGTAAGAGGAAAAGGAGTGGGGAAAGGCAATATCATGTTTAGAAATGCGTCAATAAATAGAAATTTTTCGAAAGATTGACAGAGAAACTGAGGGAAGTCAAAAATTGAAGCATGAGTGTAAAATAATTTGTTGACTGTATAAAACTTGTTTGGAAAATGAATAAAAATTATTATTAAAAAAAAAAAGAAATACGGTTCATAAACAAGCTTGTTTCCCCCTGCTCTGGAGGGTAGGACTCGAACCCATGGCTTCCAAGTTACAAGAAAGGAGATTCCAATTAAACATCAGGAAGAAGTTTCTGACGGTGAGAGCTGTGTGATAGTGGAAAGGGTTTACTTGGGAGGCTGTGGACTCTCCTTCCTTGGTGATTTTTAAGCAGAGGTTGGGTGCCCACCTGTCATGGATGCTTGAGCAGATTTCTGCATTGCAGGGGGTTGGACTAGATGGCCCTTGGTGGTCCCTCCCGACTCTACAATTTATGATTCTACAAACGTTTTCTCATAAAAGCAGGGCAAGGGAGAAGAGTGTCAGGTCGATCTCTGCATCCAACAGTGGAAGTTCATTTGTCCGCCCCCAGAGCCTCAAGAGCTCACCTGTAACAGGGTGTCGTGATAAGGTAGGAGGCGCAGCTGAAATGCAACTTGAAGTCCAGCTTTTCGTGTGTTGAGCCTTCCTCGTCCTGCCAGAAAACAACAGAGGGTGGGAAGTGGGGGCAAAGGAAGCAGACCCCCCCCAAAGCATCCCTGAAACAGCCTCTTCTCATGGGGAGCGGGGAAGGAGGCAGAAAAAGCCCCCCAACGGACCCTCCCACATGCTCCATTTTTCACTCCAGCCACCCGCCTAGCTGTTCCTCTCCGATGCTTTGGGAAAAAAAATCTGGCTTTACAGTCCCTTCTACCTGTAAGAGTCCCAAGGATGGGATAAAGCCGCACCCAATATATTAATATAAAATCGCCATTTATTACTTTTATATACTGCCCTTCATCTGAGGATCCCAGGGCGGTTTTCTGGCATAAAAACACAACAATACACAACAGAAAAGCAATAACCGCTCCAGGCCACAGATTTTGTTAGTGTAGCTGCACAGCGTATTTTTATATATCAAGCTGCCAGCTGGCTTTGTCTGCCTCCTGCACTCAACCTTGGCTGGAGAAGTAATAAACACGTTTTTGTGGAGGACAGAAGGACCGAGGAGGAGAAAAATGAGGTCTCTGTAGCTGCCTCCTTCTCCCCAGAGAGGGCGGTGCCTTCACCCACCCTCCTAGATGCCCACATATTGGCAGGATACCCTGCGGGTGCTGCTAAACTCTGTCATGAGCCCCCGTGGCCAGCATGTCCAATGGCCAGCGATGAAGGTGGGGATTGGGTGTTCAGCATCGTCTTGAAGAGCCTTAAGTCCCCTGACTTATTCATTTACGAAACTGGTTCAGGGCTCTTTCATCCTTAATCTGTTTCAAACTTTTTAAAAAAAAATACTGTGCAAAACTGAGTTTTAATGTTAACGGCATGCTTTATTTATTCTTATTTTACTTATGAGATTTATCACCCTTCATCACAAGATCTTGGGGCGGTTTGCGGAGTAAAAAAATAAAGGTTAAAAACATGAAAGTAAGTAACATTTTATTGTAACAGCCTGCCATAGGACCCTGGGGTGAAGGGCAGGTAATGAACTGTAACAACAAACAACAAACAACAAACAACAACAACAACAACAGAATGCAAGTGTTGGGAAGGTGGAAGAGGACCTTACTTTGATGATAAACGCGAGGGTTCCTTTTAGTTTCTGTGCCATGACAATACTTTGCAAGGTGAAGACAAACTGGGCTTCGCTGGACACCCCTAAATTGGGAGAGGGGAGTGGGGGCAGGGGAAAAAGAATTTTTTTTAAAAAAAGAAATTCTCAAATATTCACTTTCTTCCATTTTGGCTCAAGCTTGATTGATTGCGGGGGGGGGGGGGAGCCCTACCAAACCCACACAGGGGCTTCCAAACTGTGTGTTCTTAAACACAGTTTGGAAGCGTATGAAAATGAAAAGCATCAAAGACCCTCAGCAAAGTCACACAGCTACAGAGAAGACTGCCCCCCCCAACTACTATCAAATCCTGCTATTCGTATTAATTGAAACTTCCAGTAGTAAACCTCCAGAACATATCCCTCAGTATATTTTATCTTATTGATTTGGCTAGTGGCTCAAACAAATGAAGTTTCTATCTATCTATTATGTGAAAATCTAATAATAATAATATAATTTGAAAGGTTGCCCCTGGGCTTAATCTAGATATGACCCCTTTGATGCCATTAAACTTTTCGTGGAAAGGGAGGCTTTCTTGACGCTCCTTGACGCCTCTGGCCAACCCTGCACCCCCCCCCCAGCAAAGACAGGACATACCAGGGGGCAGCTGGAAAGGGACAGGAATTCCGTCATGTATTGAGGAGCCTTCCGGCCGGAACATTTTAGTGTTGAGTGAGTCCAGGACGTTCAGCTCCATGCTCTTCAGGAAGCTGCTGCTTTTGTTCTCGAAGATGATGGAGACGGTCACCTGGCTGTCGTTCTGCAGGTTCCCCTGGATGTCGTAGGTCTGCGGGAGGAGGCATTTGTGAAGAGGGAGCAGCAGCAGCGGAGCTCAACCACTGCACATTTAAGGCATTTGTGAAGAGGGAGCAGCAGCAGCGGAGCTCAACCACTGCACATTTAAGGCGCTTGCACTCCATGGAGGCGCAGACCCAGCCCCACTCACCATTTTGATGTACGCGTTTTCGGCAAGGAGGGCGTAACTTGACATCGGCTGGAAGGCAGAAAGAAAATTGAAATTGAAATACTTTATTGTCACTTGTACAACGTATACAGTGAGATCACACCAGCACCCCCCACTCAGCTCTCTTAGTCTTAATTCCCCGCATTTACTGACGCACACCCACCAAACCCGAAAGTCACCTGCCCTGTTCTCTTTTCATTCAGCAGCCTAACAGCCCAGGATAGAAGCTGTTCTTTACCCCGTTTGGTGCTTCTATATCTTCTGCCTGAGGGCAGGAGATCAAGAAAGTGCCGGCCAGGGTGTGAATCATCCCTGAGGATTTCCCTCACTCTCCTGAGGCAACGTTCTTCCGCTATTTCATCCAGTGGATTCACGGGACAGCCCATAATATCTTGTGCTGTATCCACCACCCTCTGTAGGCACTTCCTATCAGTTGATGTCAAACCAGCGTACCACACCGTGGTGCAGTATGGAAGGACACTTCCTACTGTGGTGGAGGAGATCACCAAATGTTGATTGACATTTGGAGATCATCAAATGTTGATTGACATTGTTCTTCCGCAATACTCTGAGGAGATGGAGTCTCTTTTGGGCTTTCTTAACCACCTGGGTTGTACTGATTTTCCAAGTAAGGTCTTCACTGAGATCAACTCCTAGGAATTGAAAGGAAGAGACTCTCTCCACACAGCCCTCCCCGATGTACAGCGGGGCTAGTTCTCCTCTCTTCCTCCAAAAGTCCAACACCATCTCCTTTGTCTTGCTGATATTAAGGGCGTCATTCCTGAGCTGTGGCCAATTATGTGTGGAGAGACAGCGTGGTTAGAGCGACGGAAGAGGACTTGGGAGACCAGGTTCGAATCCCCACTCAGCTAAGAAGCTGTCTGGGTGGCCTTGGGCCAGTCGCCCACTCTCAGCCTACCCTACCCTGCAGGGTTTTTGTACGGACTAAAGGTATGCCACCTTGAGTTCGTTATAGAAAAAGGCAAGGTTATAAACACAGTAAATATATAAAGATCTGCTCATGGTAAACCCACTGAAATTAAGAGAAGTTAGTAATGCCTATTAATTTCAGTGGGTCTACTCTGGGCAGGACTAACACTGGCTATGATTAAAAGAAATCTCTGTACAGGAGTGTTTCCCAAACTTGGGTCTCCAGCTGGTTTGGGACTACAATTCCCATCACCCTAACCACTGGCCCTGCTAGCTAGGGATGATGGGAGTTGTAGTCCCAAAACAGCTGGAGACCTGAGTTTGGGAAATCCTGCAGAAGACCTCTCAAGTGGTTTGCCAGATGGCCTAAAATATTCATTTAAAATACCAATAAAAAACAAGTTAATAATAATAACAAGGGGAAAAAACAAAAAATGCAATTATAAGACTCTTGCTCACTGGTAACGGTTCATCCTCCAGCGTCCCGTTCTGCACCGATTCTGCAGGGAGCTCCTCTCCACTGTTGCCCTGGTGTTTCTTCGACTTCTTATCCTTGGACTTCTCCTCTTTCTTGTGCTTCTTCTTCTTGTGCTTGGAGGACTTCGACTGGGCCAGGGGGAAATCCAGGGGTCAGACAGCTTCCTCCCATATCGCCCATTAAAAGCCAAGGCTCACCCCAGGCGATCTCCGCCAGGCCCTGCCCTGTGCAACTCCCTGCCCATAGAGGGAACTGCTCCTGCCTTCCTTCCAAAGTCTCTCAAAAACCGCTTTTGGGACAGGCGCTTCACACTACGGATGTTTCTCCTTAACCAAGCAGCATCTACTGCTGTCTTATTGTGGTTTTTAATTAATAATAACAAATGATAATCATATTATTTATATGCTCTCCTGCCACTCTGGGCAGCTACCAACAAAATATTAAAAACACAATAAAACACTGAACATTAAAAACTTCCCTATATGGGGCTGCTTTCAGGTGTCTTTCAAGTTGTGTAGTTGTTTATCTCCCTGACATCTGACGGGAGGGCATTCCACAGGGTGAGCGCCACCACCAAGAAGGCCCTCTGCCTGCTTCCCTGTAACTTGGCTTCTCGCAGGGAGGGAACCGCCAGAAGGCCCTCAGCGCTGGACCTCTGTGTCCAGACTGGACAATTGGTTATAATGTATTCCATATTGCAAGCTGCCGTGACATATCTTATGAAAGCACGGGTCGCAAATATTCAAGTAAACAATAAAAGAAGCCAACTGACAACCCCCCCTGTGCGCTCTCTCTCTCTCTCTCTCTCTCTTTTGGCATTCAGGGACAGGGACTTGGCCACTCACCTTTCCTTCCTCTTCCTCCTCCAGCTCTTTTTCTCGCACTTCCTTCTGGGCCCCCACTGGCTCCCCAGCCCCTGCGAGGTTCACGCTCGGTTCAGAAGGGCTCTAAAGGGAGACGGCAAGATTGAAATTATTTATACCTTGCCCATCCGGACTGGGTTGCCCCAGACACTCTGGGCAGCTTTCAACAAATTAAAACACAGTTAGACATCAAACATAAAAAACTTCCCCATACAGGGCCACCTTCAGATGTCTTCTAAAAGTTCTAGTTTATCTCACTGACGTCTGGTGGAAAATGCTCAAAAAGCAAGCCAAGGGACTAAGGGACACCTAGGAGGCTCTCCCAGTGGGGCAAGGAGGGGTCTTACTTTACAATGGCTCATGCCCTGAAACTGTGGGCAGCTCCCTGCTTGCACCCCTCCCCCAGGCCCACCGGCTGCCTGTTTACCGGGCCAGGCTCAAGGTTCTTGCGTTAATTTACAAGGCCCTTGACAACATGGCTCCAGGAGATCTTAAGATACTGCCAGATACCTTATATCCCAGTCTTATCGCTGAGATACCGGGGGCGAGGAGAGAAAACATGGGAGCAACAGGTTCCAAGGTCTTCGCCTAAACCAGCTGTTTTCGACCTTTTTGAGTCCACAGCTTTTTGACCAACTCCATTCTTTCTGCGGCACCCCTGTGGGGCTCAGGAGCCCAGTTATGTCCCCCCTTGCCTGCAGAGCTGGCAGCCTCTCCCCCTTTTTTGAACACCCTCCCTTGTGGAGTGTTCCCTCAGCTTCCTCTCTTCTCCCCTCTCCTTGGGAGTCCTCTGGGCAGTTGCTGCCCTTGGTTTCTGAGCTGCCTGCCCCAAAGAGAGGTGCCTCCTCACACTGCCCCACAGGGGCCTGGGAAGCACCCCCAGACCAGTCCCAGAGGCACCATTTGCCTGGGGAGCCTGTAGCCGGGGCTGCTGCAATGAACAGCCATGCAAGCCTTTGGGAGGAAGACGCAAGAGGGCATCAGAGGAGGGAGGAAAGGAGGGAGGGAGGGAGGGAGGGAAGGAAGGAAGGAAGGAAAGAAGGAAGAAGGAAAGAAAGAGGGACAGAGGCCAGCGTTGCCTGCAGCACCCCTGACCAACATCCACTGCACCCCAGGGTGCCACAGTGCACTGGTTGAAAACCACTGGTTTAAGGAGCCCTTTGGCGCCTGGCTTACTGTATTTTTCGCTCTATAAGACACGCCTAGTTTTTAGAGGAGGAAAGGGGGAAAGCCCTGGTGTGTTTTTTTGGGATCAGCTCACAGTTGTGCAGCTTCTTTTGCAAAGGGGAAAAGCCCCCTTTTTTGAGGATCAGCTCAAAGTTGTTGATATTACTTTGCAAAGGGGGGGGGAAATCCTGTTTTTGTGGGGTTCAGCTCAAAGTTCTGCAGCTTCTTTAGGAAAGGAAAGGGAGCCCTTTTTACAGTTTCCAGACGTAATCTAATCAGCCAGTCACATGTCGCTGGGGAAACAAACAGCCTCCGTCTGCAGAACATTCAACAATGGAGGCCTGGGCAAGGGAGCCAGCGATTGACCGCACATTCGCTCCATAAGATGCACAGACATTTCCCCTTACCTTTTAGAAGGAATAAAGTGCGTCCCTATAGGACACACTTTTCCCCCTCCAAAAATGAAGGGGAAATCTGTGTGTGTCCTATGGGGCGAATGCAGGCTTTGGCTGAAGCCTGGAGAGCGAGAAGGGGCAGTGTGCACCGACCCCTCTCGCTCTCCAGGCTTTAGGAAGCTATCCGCAAGCTTTGGGAGCCCGTGGGAGTTCCTGCCGGGCTCCCAAGGCTTGCGGACACCAGCCTGCAGCCTGAAACCCGGGGAGCGCAGCGGAGCACACCCCGGGCTTCGGGCAGATATCCGCAAGCCTTGGGAGCCCGGCGGAAGTTCCTGCCGGGCTCCCTAGGCTTGCGGATAGCAGCCTGTTCTGAGGGCTGGGGTCAGGGGAAGCTCAGGCATCCCCTGCCCCAGCCCTGCGCCGGGGGGGGGGAATAATTTCCCCCCTTTATTCCCCCCCAAAAAAACTAGGTGCGCCCTATAGGGCAAAAAATACGGTATATATCTGAGTTTGCAACACTTGCATGCACACACATCATTTCAGAGCTCTGCAATGGAGATTAACCTTTGCTTCCGTAGCAGCTGCAGGCGGCGGACCGTCAGAAAGCCAGAAGTCCATGTCTTCCTGCTGGAACGAGAGAGAATGGGAGCAAAAAAGGACTGTGGGTTACCTATAGTGAACTTTCTTTTACAACTTATTCAAATCTTACAAATAATAATAATAATAATAATCACCACCACCCCACCCTGATATACAAGGTATGTATGAAAACAGCAAACCCCGTGCCCATTTCTGGGTGCTTTCGAACTATAACTCCCACTATCACCTGCGACTGATGAGCCCTGCTGGAATGCAGCAGCTGAACTATAACTCCCACCAGACCTGGGTGCTGGGAATCAGAGTGCAATGGCCGGACCCTCCATGGGGTCCCTGCTCTGAACGGAAGAGGCCAGACTTGAGAAGAGCACAGGTGTGTGGGTGTGTTACCTTCTTCTCCTCTTCCTCTTGCTCCTCCTCCACCTCCTCCTCGATCTTCCTCTCCCTCTCCTTCCTCTTCTCCTTCTCCCGCTCCTTCTCTTTGTGCTTCTTCTCCTTCTTCTTTGGTCGCTTGCTCTTCTTCTCCGCGGGGAGCACTTCCGCCTCCTGGGGTGACTTGAGGTCGTTGGCGTTCCTGTGTCTCTGCACCGGAAGCTTCTCGCTGTCCGCCAAAGGCCTTTTTAGTGGGAAGGAAGAAGGAAGGACAGGGGAGGTTTGTTTGCTTTTAATTATGCGTTTGGTTTGCATTTTTGCATCTCTTTTTGCTTTTATACGCCGTGAACTGCCTTGTGATCTTCAGGTGAAGGGTAAATAAATATACAAATTCAACTCAGGCTGCAAAAAACACCATCTCGAGATCCAGCCTCCTGTTTTCCAACCCAAAAGCAAGATTCTAGCAGGGCCAGTAATATGGTGTCCATTGCAAGGCCAGAATTAACACCACACACACTCTCATGCATAGCACACAGCTACACTCCCAGGAAGCTGTGATTGACCGCAGCTCCATCGCTGAATGAACCCTCTGAAATGGCCTGAGGGCGACCAGAAGTTCCCCGACACAAGTCTTTGCCTTTCTGGTGCCCTCCAGCGGCTCTGGACCACAAGTCCCAGCAGCCCCCATGCTGGCTGCGGCTGTTGGGGAGTCGTGATGGCGGAAATTCCAGAACATCTGAAGGGCACCTGGGCTGCGGAAGGCTGCCCTGGAGTAAGTTTCAGGAGCACTACAACAGGTTAACAGCGAGGTGGATTGCATATAGCTGCTTTCCTGGTCGCCTATGGCGAACGGAAGATTGGCTCCAGGCAAGCAAGCGACCAAACGCCCTTCGGAGCATGGAACTCCCTGTCACTAGAATCAGGCAGGCACCAGATGCAAGGCTGAAACAGGTTTATTTATTCCAGGAGGCCTTTGCACCATAAATGCTGTTCTTGGATTTTCAGTTTTGCATACTGCATGTTTTTATTTTGTAAGTTGCTTTAGTGAAATCTAGGATTTTTAAAAAAACGTTTCTTTTGTTCCAGGCCACAAACATGCAAATTTAGGTCTATGCAGGTAGAGGAGAGAGAGAGAGAATTGATTCCTCCCCCCTAGACTCTCAAAATACGGAGTCTCTTTTTTCTGCTGCAATTTGGGGTGGGGTGGGTGGGTCAGCAGCTCTCTTGGCAGTGTCGGGGTTTTACGACGTCAGAAAGGGAGCAGCCAACTTATGGTTTTTACAGTGTAATGTTATGTTGTGAATGCCCTGAGATCTACGGATAAAGGGGCAGTATGCAAATTTAATAAATAATAAAAAGAACAACTTCCCATACACTGGAGAGAGAGAGAAAGATAGGGAGAAGGGAGCGCTTACCTCGCCGATTTCCCTGAAACCAGACTGTGTGTGAAAGACAGAGAGAAAGAGAGGGAGACAGGAAAAAAATAAAATAAAATACACATGACGACAGAATACAGCAACTGTGCGAATGGAAGAAGCAGGAGGGAAAGAGACAGAGAGTGAGAAATGCAAAATAATTTGGATGATGCCTCACAGAACATACAAACAGAAGAGCTGGAAGAACCTGAGGAGCAAACCTAGCCTTTTAAAAGACGCAGTGGAAGTGTCCAAATCGATGGCTTCACCCCCTAAACTAAGCTAAGCCCACAAGGTGAAGACTGGGGGGGAGGACCTGTGACCCCATGGTCTAATCTGGCCAACAAGGTCATTGCCCGTCCCAAACCACGCTCACCCCAGAGGTCGCATGTGACATAAAGGAGGGCTTGCCATACTCGCAAACGGTCTATATCTGAATCGTTCTCATTCTCGGTAATGTTTTTCTTTTTTAAAAAAACAACAACACCCACAATTCATGCGCAAGGCTTAGAAATCTGAATACAGTGGTGTCCCGCAAGATGAATGCCTCGCAAAACGAAAAACTCGCTAGACGAAAGGGTTTTCCGTTTTTCTGAGGTGCTTCGCAAGACGAATTTCCCTATGGGCTTGCTTCGCAAGACGAAACGTCTTGCGAGTTCTTGTGAGTTTGTTTCCTTTTTCTTAAAGCCGCTAATAGCCGCTAAGCCACTAATAGCCGTGCTTCGCAAGACGAAAAAACCGCAAGAAGAAGAGACTCGCGGAACGGATTAATTTCGTCTTGCGAGGCACCACTGTATTAAGCCATCTCCATCTCTCCACCTAAACACCTGAAACAAATGAATGAAATATTGCTGAACTACAACCAAAAGTAGGGAAACTTTGGCCCTCCAGGCATTGCTGAACTAAAACTCCCACCAGCCTCCACAAGCATGGCCGATGGCTGGGGGTGATGGGAGTTGTAGTTCAGCAAAATGCCTGGCTGGGCAAAGGATCCTTGCACTCTGATGCTGTTTTTTGTTGCATCAATTAAGTGTTTTAAATGTGTTGTTAGCCGCCCTGAGCCCGGTTTTCTGAACCGGGAAGGGTGGGGTAAAGAAAATTTATCATTATTATTATTATTATTATCATTATCATCCCACAGAAGAGCAGCAAAGCAACAGGCCTTAGCTGACGCCAGGAAGGTTTAACGCTAGCCAGGAAAACAGAAGAATGCCAGCCCAGCTTTTTCCTTACTTGTCAAGGTCGATGTCCAGGGCCTTGTAGGGGTCGTTGGGGTCCTTGTCATCCTCGTCGCTGGGCAGAGCATTCTGGGGGAAAAGCCACAAGAGAAGAGGGAGTGGGTCAAAGAGGTGCTGACCTCCAAGGGGTCTGGTGACCTACCCTCCATTGCCACAGCGACATAATTTTTTCAGTCAGAAATATGTTCACACCACCCTGAACCAAGAGATAACGACTGTGCTACTGAACTGCTGCAGCAGGATTTCATTTGCCAGATTAAGAATGTAAGAATCTGCCTGCTGCATCTGGCCAAAGGGGGACCTTCTACACTCCAGCCACCTGCTCTCATAGTGGCCCTCCCGCCAGGGCTTACTTCCGGCATCTCCTCCGTGATGATGTCCACATGTTGTGCGGGCGCAATGTCCTCGTCGCTCTCAGTGTGCAGCGAGTTGTGGCGCCGGTGGTGCTTTCCCCGCTTCTCCTTCTCCTGCTTCTTCTGCTTCTTCTTCTTCTTGTCCTTCTCCAGCTTCTGCTGGTGCCGACGCTCCTCTTCCAGCTTCACATACTGGTCAGAAACCGGCAAGCCTGTGTTGATGGGCGGGGAGGGACAGAGCGAGTTCTCAAGAGGGGCAGTGGGCTGAGCACCAGCCTTGAAAGGAAATGCTGGCCAAGGTACGCAGCCTGGGAGTCATTTTGGACTCACCACTGTCCATGGTCAATTCTGCGTCCAGGGTGGCTGTCTACCAGCTCCATCTGAGACCCTCCCTGCCTGTGCACCATCTCACCAGAGTGGTGCATGCTCTGGTCCCGCTTGGACTACTGCAATGCACTCTCCATGGAGCAACCTTTGAAGGTGACCTGGAAACTACAACTAATCCAGAATGCGGCAGCTAGACTGGTGACTGGGAGCAGCCGCCGAGACCATATAACACCAGTCCTGAAAGACCTATATTGGCTCCCAGTGTGTTTCCAAGCACAATTCAAAGTGTTGGTGTAAAGTCCTAAATGGCCTTGACCCAGTACACCCTCAATGTCCAGTCCGGACACTGAGGTCCAGCTCTGAAGGCCTTCTGGCGGTTCCTTTATTGTGAGAAGTGAGGTTATAGGGAACCAGGCAGAGGGCCTTCTTAGTGGTGGCGCCCTCCCTGTGGAACGCCCTACCCTCATATGTCAAGGAGATTAAGAACTACACAACTTTCAGAAGACACCTGAAGGCAGGCCCCTATTGGGAAGATTTCAATGCTTAATGTTTTTACTCAGAGCAGACCCATTGAAATTAAAGGACTTTAAAAGGCAGCCATGCCCTCTTTGTGTGGCTGTTCCAACTTCAGCAGCTGGAGAAATGGAAGCCAGGCGTACTCGCCCTTTCAGGATCCCAGCATTTGAAGTGGGAAGCAGAGACCAGGGCACAGAAAACATGATTTGGAAGCGCTGAGAATCAAGGCCGCTCATCTGCATAGCTCCACCCACCGGGCCCCGTTCATTGGTGTGGAAAGCTGGGAAACTGGCAGAACTCTTACCAGGAACTTTCAGAGGAACGGAGAGGTCAATTTGCACCACAGGTATGTGCTCGACGCCGGGGCTATCTTGGTACCTCTGGACAAGGTGGGGGTGGAGGGAAGAAGATCAGGTGGGGAAACAAGAGATGTCATGTGCCAACATTGGCCCCGTGTGGCTTATCAAAAGCAACAGCAGGACCCCTGCCATTAAGAGAGGGGCCCCTCACCACCACCCTAGAGTGGGTCCCTTGCGACTACCAGACAGGCCTTACCTTCTGTGGGGAAGGAGAACTTTTGATGTAGAACGGGTTGTTCGCTTGTTCTTGCTTCCGGACTTCTCGCGCTTTAGGGAGAGACAAGGGGCACGGCGGTGGGTTTTAAAAATCTAATATATTGAGGATTATTGGAACATTTTTCTTGGCTTCGTTTACGTTTTCTCGCCTTTAGGAAGACCGGGAGCACCTAGCTTTGGGGGGGGGGAATCAAGGAAATTTTTTTATTCCCCCCGAGGTTTGCGCAGCATCCCAGCAAAAGGGGACAGAGCATCTCCAAGTCCCCTTTACTGCCTCGGGACGTCTGCCCTGTGGAGCGCCAGGCCTACATCAGTCGGAATACGGGTGCACGGCCGCTGCCTCCCCACTATCCCCGAGCTTTGGGGCTGACGGGGGGAGTAAGCTTGCTTCTCCTCCCCCCCCGCCAGCCTCCAGACCAGGTCGGGAATAGCGGGGAGGCCGCAAGCCTCCTAACTATCCCCCGAGTTTGTGGGCTGCAGGCTGCTGCCCGCAAGCTTTGCGAGCCGGCGGGACCTCCCGCCGGGCTTGCAAGGCTTGCGGATAGCTTCCTGAAGCCTGGAGAGGGAGAGGGTCGGTGCGCACCGACCCCTCTCGCTCTCCAGGCTTCAGGGAAAGCCTGCATTCGCCCAATAGGACGCACACACATTTCCCCTTCATTTTTGGAGGGGAAAAAGTGCGTCCTATAGGGCGAAAAGTACGGTATTTAAAAAAGGAGAATCCAAATGGCCTCCCCAACCCTGCTCCACAACAGCTGTGTGTCTATCCAGACAGGGACAGCCTAACTTGTCTACGCTCTGGGAACTCCCAGGTTAGATTACTGCAGCATGTTATAGGTGGGGCTGCCTCTGAAGACAGTGCGGAAACGTCAGCTGGTGCAGGATTCAGCGGCCAGGTTGCTCGCTGGGACAAAAGAGTTTGAGCACATTGCATTGCTCCTGGCCCGACTGCACTGGCTGCCAATCAGTTTCCGGGCCCACTTAGAAGTGCTGGCTCCTCACGTGAGCCAGAGGGGCACGATGCCTACGTGACGGGCATAATAAATCCCTGCATTGCAGGGGGGTGGCCTGGTCCCTTCCAACTCTACAGTTCTTTCACTCTATGACCTTCTGCAGCCAGCCTACCCTCTTCAGTTCCTCCTCGTCCATTTCAGGCTGCCGGTGCCTTGTGTGCCTCTGTTCCTCCTCGTGGAAGATGGTCCGGGGCTTCTCGTCCTCAGACTCGCTGTCCGAGGGAGGCTCGTTGATCCAAGCGTCAAGGTCCAAGCTGGGAAAGGGAGAGAGCCTCCGCATCACTAACAAGCTGCCCTTGCTATTGATTACTCAAAAAGTTACTAATTCTAATCAGATTTATATAGCTTCTCGTCAACAGAATACAGTGGTGCCTCGCAAGACGAAAATAATCCGTTCCGCGATTCTCTTCGTCTAGCAGCGGCTAAGCGGATTAGCGCTATTAGCGATTTAGCGGTTATTAAAGGCTTAGCGGCTGAGCTGCTAAAAGGCTATTAGCAGCTTAGCGGCTTAGAAAAAGGGGGGGGGAAGCAAAAAAAATATATGGCAATACTCGCAAGACATTTTCGTCTTGCGAAGCAAGCCCATAGGGAAATTCGTCTTGCGAAGCGCCTCCAAAACGGAAAAACCTTTCGTCTAGCGGGTTTTCCGTCCTGCGAGGCATTCATCTTGCGGGGCACCACTGTAGACTCTTAAATCTCAGGGCCATGGGTTCAAGCCCCATGTTGGGCAAGGATTCTTGCACTGCAGGGGGTTGGACTAGATGACACCTGTGGTCTTTTCCAAGTCTGCGATTCTATGACTCCATCTTATTTCTGTGATTTCAGGTTGCTTTGAGTGATTTTCTTAATTGTTGCAACCTGCTTTGGGTTCTTGGAGCGAAGGGTGGGCAAATCACCATCACCACACCCAGTCTCAAGTCAACATGATCATTTCTCCAGTTCAGGGCTGCGGAAACTCAAGGCTGGGCAATATCTGGTTTTCAATGTCAAAGTATACCACCAGCTAAACAGTACAGTGGTACCTCGGGTTACAGACGCTTCAGGTTACAGACTCCGCTTACCCAGAAATAGTACCTCAGGTTAAGAACCTTGCTTCAGGATGAGAACAGAAATCATGCTCCAGCAGCATGGCGGCATTAGCTAAAGTGGTGTTTCAGGTTAAGAACAGTTTCAGGTTAAGAACAGACCTCCAGAACGAATTAAGTACTTAACCTGAGGTACCACTGTATATTGCTGGGTCAAAAATTTCAGAACTGCTATCACGATACAGACTTCAAAACGGTTTGGACGGTATATCATCCAGCCCTACTCAGGACCCTCCCACAGGGCTACTCTGCACCCTCCTGAAGCGCTTTTGCATAGCTGGGATGTTTCCTTGGTGCCATTAATGTGCCTCTTTGCTCAGCTGGATGGGGAACAGAGAGGTGTTTATGGAGGCAACGAGAGGGGAGTGTACACACCTTTTGCGCAACTGGAATGTAACCTCCTGTACAAAAGGTAAGAATTGCATCTGTTGCCCCCCCCCCCCGTCACTGTCCCTTTCCTTTTCCTCTGCTCCTCCCCATGACTTCTCCATGAGAGAATGCAGCACCCAGGTTCAAAAGACTCTCCCCCCACCCGCTTGGAACCAAACATGGTTTCTGGACCACCTTAAAAGGCAGCCCCATGCACAGTGCACTGCGGCAGTTCTGACCCTGCTGCAAACACAGAAATCGCACGGTCCCTCCTTGCCCTTTCTAAGACCCCTTGCTCTGCCTTCCCCCGATTTCACTCCTCTCAGACTGGCTGGGAGGCAGGCGAGGCTGCAGGCCCAGAACCCCGGGATCCAATGCCGTCTTACCCTTCTGGAATGGGCACTTTCTTCTGGGCTTTGGGGGCGACAGGGTTGAGCTCCCCAGCGAACAAGGCGATCACTTCCTCGGCTACGGGGACCTCTTTGATCTGAAGCTTGTGGATGTATTTCATGAGCTGGAGGATGCAAGAGGCCTGGAGAGAGGAAAGAAATTTATTAAAGTTAAGAGAGAAAAGAGAGAGGGAGACTCTCGTTGATTTAGCCCAGTGTTTCCCAGACTTGAGTCTCTGCCTGTTTTTGGACTACAACTCCCATCATTCCTAGCTAGCAAGACCAGTGGTCAGGAATGGTGGGGATTCTGGTCTGAAAACAACTGGAGACCCAAGTTTGGGAAACACTATTTTAGCCAGAGGGTTAAAATGTTGTGCAGGTGGTACCTAATGTCAAATAAATGAGCCAAAATGTATAAAAATGTGCCAGGTAAGTGCTGGGAAAGGTAGGTAGACAGAAGGGTCATTCTTTCATATGTGGTGGACATGCAAAAAAGCTAAAGGCTATTGGGAAATGATATACAGTGAAATGAAGATGATATTTAAATGGATTATTCCCAAAAGATCAGAAGCTTTTCTTATAGGCATAATAGGGACAGACATTTTGAAGATGATCAAACTATTTATGTATGTGACAACAACATCTAGAATATTATTTGCATAGAAATGAATAGAAGAAAAGGCTCCAACGAAGGAAGAGTGGTTTTTAAAATTAATAAGCTATGCAAAAATGGCAAAGCCGACAGCAATATTAAGAGATCTAAATGATGAGCCTTTTACAGAAGAATGGAGGCCTTTCTTGCACTATTTGAAAAAGTATTGTAGTCAAATGAAATTGTGGGCAGGATTCTAGATAGGAGCAGCAGCAGCAGAAAAACATACAGTAATTGTATTAGTGGGATTCTGCAATAGATGAGAGTTTGATATATCACAGTAGAAAAGGGTATGAAAAGGGCTGCGTTTTCTCTTTCCTTTTCGATATTTCTGACTTCATTTGTTATAGATATGATCTTATTTTATTGTGAAAACTTTAATTTGAGCAAAAAGGAAAAAAGTTTGAACAGAAACACTGTGAAGTTGGGGATGGGAAGACAATTTATGAATCGATGCAATTATTATTTTAGAAATTTCATAGAAAATAATAATGTAAAAAGAGAGAGAGATTTGGGAGGATTTTTGCTTACCCTTTCCTGGACCTCGAGGTCCGCACTCTGCACGAATTGCGGCAGGCGCTCTATCATCATCTGCGTCGCCTCCTGCGCCACCTCCTTCTCGCCAGCCTGCTCCTTCTGCTGCAGGATTGCGGCGTACAATTTCACCATGTTTTGGACGTACACAGCCTGGATGTGGCCGGGCAGCGTGGTGACTTTGGGCCGCAGCATGGCTTCCAGAGTCTGGTGAGGCTCCTCGAGGTGCCTGAGGAGGAGGAGGAGGGGGAGAAGGTGCTTAGAGGCGGGGTGTCCCAAAACCTCCTTCCAGGAGGGAAAGCGAGGAAACCACAAGAGGGAGCAAGGGGAGAACTCGGCCCTCTCCCAGCTGCGAGGCCTCCCTGGTGGTTCGTGAGACAGCCTTTGTGGTGGTGGCCCCAAGGGCAAGGAACTGCCTCCCCACACAGGTGATACCGGCACCATGTCTTTACAGATGTTGGCAACTGGTTGTGTTGGTTGTTGGAGACTAGCAACATCTGGAATGTTAGAACAATGTTGGGTTGAAGCTAAGTGGTTTTCAGCAGTAATGTTATAAAGATGTGTAAAAATGGACTGTTAACAGGGGATAATTCAAAGTTATAATGTATTAAGATTAAAGATTAGGATAAAAATAAAGAGGGAAAGGATTTGCTGAACCAACCAATTGAAATGGATACAAAAAAGGGAGGTGTGAGGAGGTCTGGGGAACAAGCGAATGAAAGTTAAGATACGAAAAGATGGAATTGTTTTTAACTGTTTTTATTTTGTATTTTTTCCTTTCCTTTTTTTCTTTTTGTAATAATTTGAAAACTTTAATAAAAATCTTTTAAAAAAAGAGAGACTAGCAACATCTGGGAGGGCCCTGACAGATGTTCCCCATCCCTGGTCTAAGAGGAGGCATTCCCCACTGAGGAGAGAATGCCTCTTCTCAATAGAGGCACACCTCCATCTCAAGCATCTCATAGTGAACACTGCTTCTTAGAAAAGGGCTGGGGAACCTGTCGCTCTCTTGACTCCACCATGCAGGCCCACTGGTTGTCTGCAGGCTACCGCTTGGGAGCTCCTGTGTGAGAGATGCCACCATGCAGCTGGGAACTTACTCGGAGAACTCCCCGCAGATCCAGGCCGCAGCATACAAGACCTCGCAGATCCCGTTGCGCTGGGTGTTGCTGGCCAGGAGGTGGGCGTTGTCCAACAGCATGGCCATCTGGGAGACGGCGAACTTGCGGATGGCCTTGACGCGAATGGCCACGTCAAGCATCTGGGAAGCGATGAGGTGGCCGTGGCGGGTCCCCTCCAGGCGGGTCAGCTCCACCAGGATGCTGATGTACCTGGATCACGAGAACACAGGAAGGGGCCTCAGAGTCAGATTATTGGGTCCCTCAAGCTCAGGACTGTCTTCGGCAGGGTTTCCCAAACTTGGTTCTTCGGCTAGGGATGATGGGAGTTGCAGTCCAAAAACAGCTGGAGAACCAAGTTTGGGAAGCCCTGGTCTACAGTGAATGAAAGTGGCTCTCCAGGGTTTGTAGTTCAGACCTAACGGGAGTTGCTGGGGAAGGGACCCAAGACCTGCTGCATGCAAGGTGGACTGCTCTACCACTGAGCTATGGTCTTTTCCTTAAAAAACAAAGTAATAAAAACAAAATGAAATGAAAAAGATATTTAAACTGGTTATTCCCCAATCTGAAGCTTTTCTCCTAGGGATAATTGGGTCAGAGGCCACAAAGATGATTATTAACTTATTTATGCATGCAAGAAACAACAGACAGAACCTTATACAGTGGTACCTCAGGTTACATATGCTTCAGGTTACATACGCTTCAGGTTACAGACTCCGCTAACCCAGAAATAGTGCTTCAGGTTAAGAACTTTGCTTCAGGTAGAGAACAGAAATTGTGCTCCGGCGGCATGGCGGCAGCGGGAGGCCCCATTAGCTAAAGTGGTGCTTCAGGTTAAGAACAGTTTCAGGTTAAGTACAGACCTCCGGAACGAATTAAGTACTTAACCCGAGGTACCACTGTACAAGCAGAACTGGAAAGAAAGTCCAGAGAAAGAAGAATGGCTCTTAAAATTAACAGACTATGTGGACCTGGCAAAGCTAACAGTGAAAACAAGAGGTCGATACAATGGGGAATTTATGGAAGAATATCATAATCAAATCGCCGGCAGGATTTAAAACTTGAGCAAAGAGAAGAAAATGGTAATATATGAAACAGAGGAACATGTATTAGATGAAATGTGTGAAGCCCTGTAGGTAAACAGAAATACTGACCATTCGAAATTGGTGATGTATTGGTAATTGGACTGGCTACATATGTCAATGATTTTGGTCAGCAGCTCGTCCCTGTAGGTTGTCCCTTCTGCTTTGTCCACGTGGATCATCAGCTTCTTCACAATCTCCATCAAGTTCTTCTTGGACACCTGAAGTTATAGAGGCCGGTTGGTGGGGAGGGAGGGGCAAGACATTAAGGAAGATATTGACAAGCTGTAGCGTGTTAAGAGGAGGGCGACCAACAGCGGAGTGAAGTTTTTTGTCAGGGAACAATGGTGCCAGCTTGTGAGGGCGATGGGGGGGTGTGAACATCATGTTGTGATGTCCCAACATGTTGACGTTGTGTGCATGACCATTGCGCCTCCCTAAGTTGGGCAGAAGCATCCCGGGCTTTAATACATGAACAATGAACTGGGAACATAGCCTTGTCCCCCTAATCTGCGCATCACTGGCAACTAAGATGATGAAGGGCCTGGAAACCAAGCCTTTTGAGCAGCAGCTGAAGGAGTTGGGGATGTTTTGGCTAAAGAAGAGGAGAAGTGAGAGGTGGGAAGATGGCCACCTTCAAGTATCTCAATGGAAGGTGGAGCCACCTTCAAATATCTCAATGGAAGGTGGAGCCACCTTCAAATATCTCAATGGAAGGTGGAGCCACCTTCAAATATCTCAATGGAAGATGGAGCCACCTTCAAATATCTCAATGGAAGGTGGAGCCACCTTCAAATATCTCAATGGAAGGTGGAGCCACCTTCAAATATCTCAATGGAAGGTGGAGCCACCTTCAAATATCTCAATGGAAGGTGGAGCCACCTTCAAATATCTCAATGGAAGGTGGAGCCACCTTCAAATATCTCAATGGAAGATGGAGCCACCTTCAAATGTCTCAATGGAAGGTGGAGCCACCTTCAAATATCTCAATGGAAGGTGGAGCCAGCTTGTCTTCTACTGCTCTGGTGGGGAGGACCCCAGACAATGGATTCAGATGGCAAGAAAAGAGAATCTAATGAAACATCAAGAAGTTCAACAGTATAAAGGGGGTGGACGCTCCTTCCTTGGAGGCGTTTAAGCAGAGGCTGGGTAGCCATCTGCCAGGGGTTCTTGAGCCGTGATTCTGGCACTGCAGGGGGCCGGGCTGGATGAAGCTGAAGGTCCCTTTCAACTCTACAACTGCCTTCTATTGCTTTTGAGTGTTCTGGATGCAACATCTGTCACCCCACGAAACACGGTTTGCTTTAGGAATGCAGGAAGCTGCCCTATGCAGAGTCAGACAGTTGGCCCCATCTAACTCAGTACGGTTGGCACTGACCGGCAGCAGCTCTCTGGGGTTTCAGAAGGGGCTCTTGCCCAGTCCTACCTGGGAGTGGTCAGAAATTGAGCCAGGACCTTCTGCATGCAAAGCAGGCACCCTACCAATGAGCCATGGACCTTCCCCAGCTTGATCTCCCTCCTGCCTCCAAGGATGGTTTTCTTGCTGCACTGCTCCTAAGGGTTTTCGGGTATGCTCTCTATATTTCTAAAAGTTAAGGCCTCCGTGATGTTGCGGCGGCAGGTGAACGTACCATCCCGTAGAGAAGATCCAAGGCCCGGAGGCGGATGGACTCGTCTTTATCATCCAAACACTGCAGGATGAGATCCTTGTGGGACTGGACCGATTTGGGGTGGGTTTTCAGGATCTTGGACATCGCCAGCAGCCCCAGATATTTCACTACGTGGAGAGGAGGAGACACAAACACACACACAAAGGCCAAATAAGATTTCCAGGGGCAGCGGTGGAGGCCCGGGAAGCTGAGCTGCACTCAAGAGCAGATTCCACGAAATCAACGGACTTAAGTTGATTTCAACAGACCTATAAAGCCTTAAATGGCTCAGGACTGCAATACCTCAAGGACTGCATCTTTCCTTATGAACCTACCCAGACCCTGAGATCATCTTCTGAGGCCCTCCTTCATGTGCCCCCTCCTCGAGAGGTCTGGAGGGTGGCAACACAAGAACGGGGCCTTCTCTGCATTGGCTCCCCATTTGCTCTCCCCAGGGATGTTCGCCTGGTGCCTTCGTTATACACATTTAGGTGCCAGGCAAAAACATTCCTTTTTAACCAGACCTTTGGTTGATTTGATTGACATCCTATGCCCTTTTTAAATGTGGGTTTTTTTGCGGGGGGGGGGTTGTTGTTTTTATTTTGATTATGTATTTAGCTGTTTCATATTTTGATTTTATTTTGTGAGCTGCCCTGAGACCTCTGGGTATAGGGTGGTATATAAATTCAACCAATCAATCATAATCATAAAATGACTAAGCCAATGCAACTGCTCACTCATATTAGTATTTAGCAGGATTTTAAGGGTGCCCCCTCCCTTGCCCCTGGTGCCAAGGACTCCCCCCCCCCAGAGGCCCGAGACTTACAGTTCTGGTCCGAATCTTCTATCAGTATCCTCAGCTTCTGAACGCAGAGCTGTAAAGAAATGACGCACAAGTTTTTTGCAAGCGGCAGAGAGGATGACACCTTCCACCTCCCTCTGCCATCAAGGAAAGCCCTCTGCACTCCAGCAAAATTTCAGCTGCTGCCGCTGTGAGTGCTGGGAGGCCAAGGTGGGACTGTACCTGGATGCTGGCACTGTGGTTGGGCATCCCCGAGGAGAGAGAGATCAAGACTGGAGGAAGGAGGGGAGAGAAAAGGGAGTTTAAATTGGTGCGGTGCAAAACACGCAAGTCAGGAGGGGTAAACAATAATGGCGCGCTTGGCACTGCCTTTCCTTACCTGCAATCACTGTGTTCACACATTCGTAAAGCAGAGACATGGCGGAAGTGCTGAGAGGGGGGAAAGAGAGAGTTATTGCACTCTGGAAAGCTCGCAGGAAAGTACTGCAGCATTGCACATTTATGGAGGAGAAAGGCTATGGGTGTCCACTGGCCGGCTGACCGGGTTTTACCCTTGTTTTTGGAGGCAGCGCGAGACGTTAGGACCATCAAGGCAATGGCTTTTTCCACCCACACTCCAGTCCCAGCAGCCTTCAGAAAGGAGTTGCTGCCACAAGCATTAAGTGCATGTGATGAACGAAGTGGAAGGTCGCGAGTCATAGGAGTGCACAAAGTCAACAGGGCTTAGTGTGATTTTGGCTGCTGGTTTGCTAAAGCTGTTAGCATTGTTTTGTGGATTATGAGTGCTGCAGTGCTTTGTGAATCACATAGTATGACTTTTTGTTGTTGTGGCTGTGCTGTTTAGCTTTTTAAAAAGTTCGTTTGTTAATAGTGATTGTTTTCTTGATGATCTGTTAAGTATTCCATACGATTTATGTTGCATTTGTGTTGTTCTATTATTTATCTGACTGGCATACCGCCCTTCATCCTAAGATCTCAGGGCAGGTCACAGAATAAAATACAGGATAAAACATGAAAATAAGTACAACAAAACATCAAAACAGTACTACCCTCCCCCTTCTCACAAACACATTTAAAAGGCTGTAGAATATTAATCAGCCAAAGGCCTGGGAGAAGAGGAGTGCTTTTTGCCAGGCACCTAAAAATATAATGAAGGCACCAAGCGAACCTCCTGGGGAGAGCATTCCACAAACAGGGAGCCACTCAGAGAAGGCCTGTTCTTGTGCTGCCACCCTCTGGACCTCACATGGAGAGGCACACAGAAATGGGCCTCAGATGATGAATGGGTCATTTTATATTCTGGGCTGCATAAATAGGAGTATAGCATCTAGATCAAGGGAAGTAATAGTGCCACTGTATTCTGCTCTGGTCAGACCTCACCTGGAGTACTGTGTCCAGTTCTGGGCACCACAGTTCAAGAAGGACACTGACAAACTGGAACGTGTCCAGAGGAGGGCAACCAAAATGGTCAAAGGCCTGGAAACGATGCCTTATGAGGAACGGCTAAGGGAGCTGGGCATGTTTAGCCTGGAGAAGAGGAGGTTAAGGGGTGATATGATAGCCATGTTCAAATATATAAAAGGATGTCACATAGAGGAGGGAGAAAGGTTGTTTTCTGCTGCTCCAGAGAAGCGGACACGGAGCAATGGATCCAAACTACAAGAAAGAAGATTCCACCTAAACATTAGGAAGAACTTCCTGACAGTAAGAGCTGTTTGACAGTGGAATTTGCTGCCAAGGAGTGTGGTGGAGTCTCCTCCTTTGGAGGTCTTTAAGCAGAGGCTTGACAACCATATGTCAGGAGTGCTCTGATGGTGTTTCCTGCTTGGCAGGGGGTTGGACTCGATGGCCCTTGTGGTCTATTCCAACTCTATGATTCTATGATTCTATACAGGGAGAGGCAGTACTCGAGGTATTGCGGTCCTGAGCCAGTTATTGTTGTTTATTGTGAGCCACTTTGTGAAACTGCCATCTTGACCGTTGGACCTGCCCTTGGTCTCGTCCGCTCCCTTCACTGGAGCCTATCTTCACACGGAGGGGAAGTTCCTAACTCACCGAGGGCCTGAGACCCATCAGCTCCCCTCGCCTGGTTCAGCCGGCCAGTCAAAGCCATTTCCGGGATTGCACCCGCTGTTGCATTTCTGACAGCTTCCAGGAGCCACAGGTGAGAGCAGAGTATAGGATGGGGACCAAAGGTGGACCTAGCACCCCAGAAGGAACATGATGTGTCCCCCACTAGAGGTGCAACCCCTCCTGTGAACACCCCGTATTCCCTAGCTTCCAATATTACAGGTTTATTATTTAGCAAAACACGTACCGTATTTTCCCGTGTATAAGACTAGGCTTTTTCCCTTTAAAATGTCCCATGTTATACATGGGACCATCTCCCCCCATTTTCTTAAATCTGAGTCCCCCAAAATAGGGGGTGTATTATACACAGAAAAATACAGCACACCACTTAAAGACTAGCTATAAAATCCACAGACATGATAAAAATAGCAAAATATAAAGGAAGAATGTAAACAGTTTCAAAAGCCAAGATGCGTAATGACTACATGTCAGGATGAAACATTTTTAAGCATGATAGAAGGAAGGCAGAGAACAGATGCTGTCTTGCTAAAAGATTGGAACGTGGAAGAAACATGGTGCTGCCCCGGGGGAAAAAGAGTCAGTTCTGCAGACCAAAGCAGTGGAAACACGATGGGGCAAGGCCCGTCCTTCTGATGAAGTAGCCCGAGTTGTGGGTGGGTTTCATGTGCCCCCTTGAATCTGCCCCAGTAACAAGTCACCAGATAGCGCAGATCTTTGCAGATCTATATTAAAGGTAAAGGTAAAGGTACCCCTGCCTGTACGGGCCAGTCTTGAAAGACTCTGGGGTTGTGCGCCCATCTCACTCAAGAGGCCAGGGGCCAGCGCTGTCCGGAGACACTTCCGGGTCACGTGGCCAGCGTGACAAAGCTGCATCTGGCGAGCCAGCGCAGCACACGGAAACGCTGTTTACCTTCCCGCCAGTAAGCGGTCCCTATTTATCTACTTGCACCCGGGGGTGCTTTTGAACTGCTAGGTTGGCAGGCGCTGGGACTGAACGACGGGAGCGCACCCCGCCGCGGGGATTCGAACCGCCGACCTTTCGATCGACAAGCCCTAGGCGCTGAGGCTTTTACCCACAGCGCCACCCGCGTCCCCAGATCTATATTACTGGAAGCCAAACAGTTGCTATTTTGTTGGGGACCAACACTTTTCAAATTCTCACAAGCAATCAAGCAGTCAGCCTGCGTGCCTGTTCAGGAACCATATGAATTACAGGTTTAAATATCAGGATTTAGAAATCAAAATGCCCTGTGTTTTGTCAACCAAAACCCTGGCTGAAGGTCAGTTGCTTCCCCAGGTCAGCACAAGCGCAAAGCAGTTCTGACCGCTGGATTTGCAAGATCCACAGCACAGACAGCCCGCCACAAACCATAGAGAGGTGAGGGAGAGCGCAAGGGATGAAGAGCCACAACACGCTTTCCACGGAGCTAAGGAGAAAGGCCTAGAGCGACACACAAACAGAGGCAGAGCGCCCTCTTCTGGTTCCTGCTGGAAGGCGGCTATTTTAATGGGGTGGGATCATAGTGCTGATAGGGGAGGAGCCAATCTACCCTAGAGGAGTGGGGGGGGGGGGAGATGGGCAACCTCCACAGGCCTGGTACCAATCGCCACCCAAACTGGCCGCATCTAAGGACCACGTGGGGATTTACGCAGCTTTGCACGCTTGAGAGAGGAATGGGATCGCCGTGAGGTGCGAGAAGTGGGAGGAGCACAAAAGCAAAAACGGAACAAAAGCAAAAAAAAAACCACCCCTCCACTGCTGCTGCGTCAACATCCCAGGTGGCAACTCTCCCCCCTCTTCCAGGACCACATCCCACAGAGCAGCCCCCAGGCTGAGGTCCACCCAGTGAAAATGGCGCTAGCTAGAGATACGCACTTCTCCTTTTTAAAAAAATAGACAACAGCAGCAGCACCACCTAAGCAAGTGGTTCCCAAACTCCCTGCCCCACTTGAAAAGGGTCAAGGGGGCTTGCTGGACTGCACAATGATTTGTCAGCTGTGCTAGATGCTGGTCTGGTCTTTAATTGCTTCTTTCACATTTTGGAACCCCTGATCTAATCCATGTTGCAGAACTGGCACCCATTTCCAACGCCGTTCTGCAGGCCGCAAGTGAACGGCTCTGGGAAGCAGAGATTAGGTGTATGCAACATAGAGAATGCTGAGCCATTAAATTGTCCCTGGTATAAAACCATGTCTTGATTCCCACCTAATGCTAAACCATGGTTTGTGCAGCTACAGTTTAGTAAAATATGGCTTGGCGTGCGTTCATGTGCTTAACTATGGTGTTTCTGTCGCCAACAAACTACAATCTGAAACCATGTTCTACTGTTGGATTATGCACCTTGCTCTGTTTTAACTTCTAGGGCAGGGGTGGGAAACTGGATCCTTACCCCAGCACTTGTGGGCAGAGTTTGACAAGTGGGTGGGGCTGCTCAACTGCCAATCCCCTGACCTCCCAATAAAGCCAGGTGACCTTTTTTTCTCTGCACAGGTGAGAGCTGGCAGCCACTTGCAAAGCTCCTTTCAAAGGGCTATTTCTGCAAGGAGCTGCAGGGCTCAGCGGACACTCCCTGTCAGCAGGGCCCTCAAACGTCCTCCCAGCTTGCTAAATGGTTAGATCACCTGTTTTGTGGGCAGGTCGTCCAGGTTCAATCTCTGCCAGCATCTCCAAGTAGGACTGGGAACTGTCGCCTCTGGGGAGCCTCTGCCAACCAGAGCAGGCAGATGGAGGGATTAATGGTCTGGCTTCATATATAGCAGGTTCCTGTGTCCCTCACTCCCTGGCAAGCTAGCACAGCATAACAGTTAAAGGGTTACTAGGCCCTGGGAGAGACCAGGTCTCAAATCCCCCACTCAGCCCCCAAGCTCATTTTGGGGAGCATTCACCCTCTTAGCCTAACCTACAGTGGTGCCTCGCAAGACGAAATTAATCCGTTCCGCGAGTCTCTTCGTCTTGCGGTTTTTTCGTCTTGCGAAGCACAGCTATTAGCGGCTTAGCGGCTATTAGCGGCTATTAACGGCTTAGCAGCTTTAAGAAAAAGGAAACAAACTCGCAAGAACTCGCAAGACGTTTCGTCTTGCGAAGCAAGCCCATAGGGAAATTCGTCTTGCGGAACGACTCAAAAAACGGAAAACCCTTTCGTCTAGCGAGTTTTTCGTCTTGCGAGGCATTCGTCTTGCGGGGCACCACTGTACTTACAGGGTTGTTGTGAGGATAAAATGGGAAGGGATTTGAGAACCACACTGGAGAAAAAGGTGGCATAGGAATAAAATATGGTGTTTTTTTAAATAATAAAAAATTAAGCCAGGGTTTTCCCTGCCCCACACTTGAACATTCCACATGGTGCCCGGTGCGAGGTGGGTGGCTGTGGCTTGGGCAAAATGGCTTTGCGGGCCAAATTGGGGCAAAGGGGTGGGCCGTGGGACAGAGCCACAGCCCCTTCTCTAAACCACTGGGTACTCACTACTGGCCTAATCTAAGGTGGGTTGCAGCAGCAGCACTCTGACCATATGAAATACATGGCCAAATAGAGAGAGAGAGAGAGAGAGAGAGAGAGAGAGAGAGAGAAAGAAAGAAAGAAAGAAAGAAAGAAAGAAAGAAAGAAAGAAAGAAAGAAAGAAAATAATAAAATAAATAAAAAAATTACTATTATTATTATTTATATGCCGCCCACCTGACTGGGTTGCCGCAACCACTCTGGGTGGCTTCCAACAAATTAAACACATTAATAATAATAATAATAAATTGGTCTCAAAACACATCTGGGTTAAAAGGCAAGTCTGGGTCTGAAAAAGTTGAAGGCTGCTCATTCCAGACCAAACCCTGCCAGCACCATCTTCGAAGTCGGCTGGCTCTGCTCCCGTTAACACAGAATCAAAGAACGGTCAGGGTTCGAGCGTCAACTTGGGACCTCACAGGGTTTTCTCGGCCAGTAGCCCCCCACCCGACCCCCCACCCCTGGCCCCAACAGCTACTCAACTACAGCAGAATTAGGGTGAAGAAGAGAGGGAGGAGACCAGAGCACGGGGGTGGTGGAGTTTTGGGTGGGTGGGTTTGTGTTTGCTTTGAAGTATACATACTGTCCACTTGGGCGCATTTCTTGGAAGAGGACTAGTTTTTTATCTTTGGAGGGGCTGCCATGAACTCTACCCTCTTTGGGGAATTGGAAGAGGGCGCGCTGGCTGTTTGGGGAGAGAAAGGAGGGTTAAGTGGAACACTTTGCACGGGATCTACGTGTCCTTTTAAAAAACGGATGGGGGTGCTCCCTTGACAAAGGTGGAGAGGGCGTGCTGCACTTTTTACAAGACCCCGCCCCCCCAATGGTGACAGGAGGCTGGCTAAGGGGTGAAGAGTGTCCTGGCAACCCTGTCCCAGAGGCAGAAGTGTGTGCTTGAGTGGAAACACAAAGGCGGGGGGCTGGGATTCTTGGATATCAGCAGCTGAGGTGCGAGAGGCGCTTTGCGCAAACGGCGTAAGGACTAGCATCACCAAAGAACTGACTCACTCACCTGTGGATGAGGTTGGTGAGGGGCTCAATGAGCTTCTTCCCTAGCCTGGGTTCCAAAGGAGTGAGAGCACCAAACTGCAGGAAGAAAGGAGAGAGAAGGTTTGAATGGCCGGATGACAACAGCTGTCCTGCAGGGCCTGAAGGAGCGTCTTCACCCCCATTGTTCAGCCCGGACACTCAGGTCCAGCTCCAAGGGCCTTCTAGCGGTTCCCTCACTGCAAGACGTGAGGATGCATGAACCCAGGCAGAGGGCCTTCTTTGTAGTTGCACCCTGCCGTTAGATGTCAAAGAAATAAACAACTATCTGGCTTTTGGAAGACACTTGAAGGCAGCCTTGTATAGGGAAGTTTTTCATGTTTGATGCTTTACTGCACTTGATGTTTTCAATTTGTTGGAAGCCGCCCAGAGTGGCTGGGGCAATCCAGTCAGATGGGAAGCAATTAACTAACTAATCCAGCCAGCCCGCCAGCCCTGGGGGGCGGTGCTTCTCCCCAGACCCCACCCTCCTTGAGTTCTTTTTGCCCCGTCGGAATGTGTGAAATTGAATGTAGCCCAAGTTACACTGGTGGGAGTTGTGTCCGCTTTCCCCTCTGCATTTGACAGCCTTCTCCTCCATTAATTTTCCTGATCCCTTTTTGAAAACTGAACATAGGAGCAGTCCTGCTGGATGAGGCCCAAAGGGGCCCATGTAGTCAGGCGTCCTGCCCTCACAGGGGCTGAACAGATGCCCCAATGGGAAGCCTCAACAAAGCCCTGCTGCTCCTCCGGCTCACGAGGAGACCCTCTCCAGAGCCTGAAGAGGATGCCCAGGTGCTCCAAACCCGTAATGCAACTGGAGTCACCTGTAAATAAATAAAATCCGGGCCGCAACAGAGTATACGGCAGCTTCCCCCTGCACACTCTTGCTCACATTTCAGCCTCTCCCAGAATCCTTTGCAGCCTGAGAATCAGAAGACACTTCGCCGCCACCTCCCCGCGCAAACCAATTAAGCAGGCTGCCTGCTGTGTCTGCTCCTTTCCTCTCTGTTTCGCATCAACTCTTCACCTCTTAAGTGACAGAGTGTGTGTCTTCACACTACGAGCGAAGGAAGCCGCCTGTACTTGCCAGCTTGATAATTTTAATGAGGACCCAGTTGTTGGTGGACGACGTCATCAGCTTAAAAAAGAGCGGAGCAAGGGAAAGGTAGTTTTTCGGGTTGCGCCTGGCCAGCTCGCAGATGACGTTCACGGCGGCTGACTGGACACCTGGGGGAGAAATAAAGGGAAGAGGGGGTTCAGGTAAGTTGTGGAACAAAACGGCTGACGGATTTAAGACACGTCTTCCCCGTAAACTTAAAGCACCAGGGTATCACTTTAAAGAGACATGGCTTCCCGCAAGGAGTCATAGAATCAGAGTTGGAAGGGACCCTGTGGATCATCTGGTCCAGATCTTTGTGTCGTGGCTCCTTAGTGTGTTGGCTGCAGTGTGTAAGTATGTCATGTGAACACGCCCTGTGCTCCTCCCGGACAGGAGTTGGCTTAACCTCCAGGTTGCTAGCAAAACTGATGCATGTCTGAAAAGTGTGTCACCAACATTTAAAGTTTGGAAAGCTCTGGTCTAGTTCAACCTCCAGCAGCTGTCCCATACAGGGATCGAACCTGCAACCTTGGCGTGATCAGCACCATGCTCTGATCAACTGAGCTATCCTGGGGGAAATAGTTTGTTCGGGGTGCTGGGAGTACTTAGGAGAGCCCTGTGCCCCTCGCAGGGCTACAAGGCCCAGAGTGCTTTCAACAAGGAACTCTCCTCCCAGGGTTGTGGCGAGGAGGAGGAGCAGGAACGGCTGGCTGGTTTTGCACTAGTTCTCTGGGAGCAGCTGGTGGCAATGGAGGTGTTGGTTGGGGCTGAAGGGAGCTGTGGCCCAAACAACCCGGAGAACACCAGGTGGGCAAAGGCTGGCCTACCAAAACGGGGGAGAGGATCTGGTTTGGCACAAGCAGTGAACCTAACAACGCGCTTGGCAATGGAGGTGACTGGGAAGAAACAGGAAGCCTGGTCCTTTGATTCTTCAATTGTCACCTCCACCTTTTCTCGTGTTCCCTGTAACCATCACCTGCATTACGCCCTCCTGCATCTCAGCAAAGCCCTTTTCAGTTTTATTTAACTTGATGGATTTATGTGCCGACTCAGGGTTTCTAAAAATTATTTTAAAATTTGTATACCGCCCTATACCTGCAGGTCTCAGGGCGGTTACAGCACCAAAGCACAATATAAATACACAACATTACACGATAAAAACAACCCAATGAAAGGCTACCTGGAGCCGCTCCCTTCCCCTCCCCACCCCCAAACACACGCAGTCTTTGCCATCTTCTGGATCCTGTTTCATCCAGCTTACTAACCGGGATCTGGGTCTTCCAACTTCTCCTTAAGGCGGGGGAACGCAGGGCGAAGGGACTCTGGGTATTTCAAGAACACTTTGTACATGATTAACACTGCCTTCTTCCTGATGTAAGGCTTCGTGTGAGACATCTGTTGGGGAGGGCAGGGAGAGGAGAATGAGCTCACATTTTTTCCACAACAAGGGCATCAAGGTCTCTTCTTTTGCACCACAGCAAACCAGCAGCACTGGGAAGGGCTGTAGCTCAGCAGTTGAGCTGAGCTGCATGCAGAAGGTCCCAGGTTCAAGCCCTGACAACATCTCCAGGTAGGGATGCGAATGCCCCCTGCCTAAAAACGTAGAGAGCTTTCGCCAGCCAGCGTGGGCAGTATTATAAAATCACAACACTATTAAATCAGGAGCTGGCTCCAGGCACCGGGCCCATTGGCAGAGCAACGCTGCATTACAAAGATGTCTGTGAACATGACCTGAAGGCTGGCAACATTAACCCCGCCATGTGGGAATCGCTTGCAGACGGCTACAGTGCCTGGAGGCAGGCAATGAAGTGGCACATTCGTGGCAGTGACCAGAGGAGGAATGACCGCTGGCTGCCCTCCTCTGCACACCTTCTAGCTTGTCCACATCCTTCTTAAACTATGGTGCCCAGAATTGGACACAGTATTCCAAGTGTGGTCTGACTAAGGCAGAACAGAGGGGTTCTATTACTACCCTTGATATGGACACTAGTCTTTTGTTGATGCAGCCTAGAAAGTGTTAGCTTTTTTTGCTGTTGCATCACAGGGCTGACACATGTTTAGCTTGTGGCCAACCAAGACCCCTGGATCCTTTTCACAGGTACTGCTAGTAAGCAAAGAATGAGATTGCAGTTCTCTCCAGCAGTTTCCAGAAACTGCTATCCAGAAGAATCTGGGGGCAGAGCATAACCATCGTGGCTACTGGACGTTGATGATCTTCTCCGGGGATTTGTCCAATTGTTGCCATCTACAGTTGCAATCAAAATTATTCAACTCCCACTGCAAATCAGGTTTATTATCAGACTTTCAGCTGTTTGCAATGAGCAAATAAAACAAAAGCAATTGAAATAGCGCAATACGATGGTTCCCCCAAATTCAGCTGAAAATGCAACTTATACTGGTTTCTCCAGTCTCGCTATTATTCGGTCCCCTGAATGGAATCCCTCACAACGGCACAAATACAACAGGTGTTGTCTCAAGCACACCTGATGTGCTTGAGCTGGAACACATGAAATACCTGAACTGGCTGGGGTTTGCTGAGTGTCAAATTTGGCTGCATGTTAGAAATATCGCTAAGTCAAGAGAATGGTCCAAAAAGCTAAGAGATGAGAGCCCTTCACAAACAAGGAGTCTGCAAATTTTGATAATAAACCAGATTTGCAATGGGGGTTGAATAATTTCGATTGCAACCGCATGCTTTCGAGATGGTTCTTACGCACTCGAGGAACAAAGCACAGAGCTCAGTTGTGGGACAAGGACTTCTGAACAGCTTTTAAAACCCCAATGGCTTGGCAGAAGAAAGAGCGGACAATGCAACCATTGTAGACCAGGCGCTCCCCCCCCCAGCCCCCCCGTCCCAACTCACCAGGGTCATGATGTCGTTGGCCAAGTCTCTGGCCAGATCAGGAGTCACAAAGCAGGACAAACCAGTCAGTGCAACGCCGGTGTCATACTGGTTGGGACTACTCAGATCCTAGAATAGGAGGAGAAATGGAAAGGAGTGCCAGGGGGTGAGGAGGGGGGAGAGGTGTGGGAAGAGGAGGGAGGAGAGTCCTTAGTTGAGTTCAACCTAGAAAGACGAAGTCTTTATACAGTGGTGCCTCGCAAGACGAATGCCTCGCAAGACGGAAACATTAGGAAGAACTTCCTGACAGTAAGAGCTGTTCGACAGTGGAATTTGCTGCCAAGGAGTGTGGTGGAGTCTCCTTCTTTGGAGGTCTTTAAGCAGAGGCTTGACAACCATATGTCAGGAGTGCTCTGATGGTGTTTCCTGCTTGGCAGGGGGTTGGACTCGATGGCCCTTGTGGTCTCTTCCAACTCTAGGATTCTATTCTATGATTCTATGACGGAAAACCTGCTAGACGAAAGGGTTTTCCGTTTTGGAGGTGCTTCGCAAAACGAATTTCCTATGGGCTTGCTTCGCAAGACGAAAACGTCTTGCGAGTTCCTGCAGGGTTTCCCCCCCCCTTTTCCCCAAGCCGCTAAGCAGCTTATCAGCTGATCCGCTAATCCGCTTAACAGCTGATCGCTAAGCCACTTATCAGCTGATCTGCTAAGCCCGCTAAGCCGCTAATAGCACTAATCCGCTAATGGGCTTGCTTCGCAAGACGAAAAAACCACAAGACGAAGAGACTCGCGGAACGGATTCTTTTCGTCTTGCGAGGTACCACTGTATCCCACTTTTCCTCCCAGGAGTGGAGAACACAGCTCTCCCCTAACCTTTTTATCCTCACAATAGCCCAGTGCAATAGGCTAGGCTGAGAGTGAGTGACGGGCCCAAGGTCACCCAGTGAGCTTCATGGCTGAGTGGCGATTCAGACCCTGGTCTCTCCCAGGCTCAATGCTCTGACCCAGCGTTTCTGAAACTTGGGTCTCCAGATGTTTTGGGGCAACTCCCATCATCCCTAGCTAGCGGGACCATGTGGGGAGACCTGTGTTCTAATAAAAGTACAGTGGTACCTTGGTTTACGAACTTAATCCGTTCTAGAAGTCCATTCTTAAACTGAAACCGTTCTTAAAGCAAGGCACGCTTTCCCTAATGAGGCCTCCCGCCGCCGGTGCCCTTCCCACTGTTTGGATTCCATTCTTGGACTAAGGTAAAGTTCTCAAACCAAGACACTATTTCCAGTTTTGCGGAGTTCTTAAACTGGCCTGCTCTTAAACCGAGGTACCACTGTAGCAGCTAAAGACCGCTGCTGTTAGATTTTTTAAAAGCTGTTGTTTAAAATTGTTTTTACATGTTAATTTTGATTTTTGTTATTTGTGGGCTGGAGGGCTGGTTAGGCGCTTTTGTTGGGGAGTGTGATTTCTGCAAGTTTGCACACATTAGTATTAGTAATTATTTTCATTATGTATTTCGTGCTTTCGTATTGTAACTTTGTGTTGTGAACTGCCCTGAGAGCTATGGGTATAGGATGGTGTAAAATTTAACCAATCAATCAAACTGAAGGGCGTGACCTACATTTCTTAAGTCATAAGGAAGAAAACAGGCCGGTGTTCTCGCAGGAGGAGGCACTAGTAACAGGCAGCAGCTCTTCTGGAATGGCGACACTCACCTTTCGGATCTGGTTCGTTGTCAGCATGATGACGTCGGTCCCTTCGTGAAAGCACTGCGAGGCTGCCAGGTACCCGATCCTCTGCAGGGTTAGGAAAGAGAGAAAGAGAGTCAGCATCGAAGGCTGAAAGGGAATCATTGCCACTGTGTACAGGAATGGTCAAAAAGCATATTCTTAAAAATTGATGTAATCTGTCCTTCACAGACTATTTTTAATGTTATTCATAATTTCTATTTTAATGTTATCCTTAATTATCTTAATTTTTTGGGTGTAATGCGAACGTTGCTATGTTTGGTTTTAATAAATAATTGTATAATTTCAAGCTCTCAAGGTGTCTTATTTACAACAGCGTCTTCCTTCGCTATGTTATAGGGGGTAGGTAGAAATATACATACAGCGATACCTTGGGTTAAGCACTTAATTCGTTCTGGAGGTCCATTCTTAATCTGCCGCGCAATTTCTGTTCTCATCCTGAAACAAAGTTCTTAACTCGAGGTACTATTTCTGGGTTAGCAGAGTCTGTAACCTGAAGCGTCTGTAACCCGAGGTACCACTGTACATCAAAGAACGCAAATTTGTCACTGCATCTTTCTCTTTGTTCGCTTAAAGGCAGTAGGTTTCCAGAGGGGTGCTGAGTATATATATTTTTTCATTTTCTGAATGAATTTGGCAGGCCAAATAGGATTGGGAACCTCCGTTTTAGAGGAAATATGTTTCCACGGCAGCTGCCAGGAACCCCCTGGCGCCTTCCCCCCCCGGCAGCCCAGGTTCCCACGCAGGCCACTTACTTTGAAGGTGTACTTTGAGGCGCTCATGACTTCAATGATGTTGAAGGCTGCCCAGCTGATGTCGTAGCCTAGCATTTGCAACTGTGAGGGGAGGAGGAAGAAAGGCCAGAGTATGAGTCTTGGGACAGCAAGGGTGGGACATTATAATGATTAGCAGGAGAAAAGGCCTCTTGCTTTTGTATGTGGCATCCAAGATGCTTTTGCCCTAGGCCAAAAGTAGTTGATGGTACAGGATCACAGGATCGTAGAACTGTAGAGTTGGAAGGGACCCTAAGGGTCATCTAGTCCAACCCCCTGCAATGCAGGAATCTTCCCTTGGGGGTTTCCTCCCACCCATCCTCTGCGTCCAGCCGCCTATGGACAGCCAGATGGAGAGGACTGGAGGGCCATATTCAGCCTGCGCACACACAGGCCTGAGGTTTCTTACACCTGCCCAATTTGACACCCCTGCCAAGCTCAATGCCACGCCCAAGGAATAGAGATAAATCAAAAACTTGACAATTCTGTATGTAGTTTATGCAAATTCATTAATAACATGCGGCATTTCAACAATCTCTAATACATGAAATCTTAATTACCGTATTTACTCAAGTCTAACGCGCCATCGAATCTAATGCGCACCTTAATTTTCACAGCGTAATTTGGCCAAAAAAAGGTGAGCATTAGATTTGAGTAAATACGGTAATACGTACAATGACAAAATAAAAATGACAAGTGCAACAATGAGATATCCGGATTTCGATCTGTTTCATGGTCGGCCTGAAAGCATGCTTGTATAAGCAAACCTCATACAGTCATACCTCAGGTTGAAGTGGCTTTGGGCTGAATATTTTCGGGATGCGGTCTGCGGCAACCCGGAAGTAACGGAGAGGGTTTCGCCGCTCGCACATGCGCTCAAAATGACGTCACGCGCAGTCGCGTGTTACATTTACTTCAGGATGCGAGCGGGGCTCCGGAACGGATCCCGTTCGTATCCAGAGGTACCACTGTACAATGTCATTTTTATTTTGGCACTGTATATACAGTGGTGCCTCGCAAGACGAAATTAATTCGTTCTGCGAGTTTTTTCGCCTTGCGAATTTTTTGTCTTGCGAAGCACGGTTTCGGAAAAGTTTTGGAAAAGCTTCAAAAATCACCAAAGTCTTCAAAAACCTCAAAAAAGGCTACCACACCGCGTGCTATGAGTTGCTCCTCGAAGTCAAGTCGCAACTGTATTAACGGTTTTAAGAAAAAGGAAACAAACTTGCAAGACGTTTTCGTCTTGCGAAGCAAGCCCATAGGGAAATTCGTCTTGCGAAGCAACTCAAAAAACCAAAAACCCTTTCGTCTTGCGAGTTTTTCGTCTTCCGAGGCATTCGTCTTGCGAGGTACCACTGTACTAAGATTTTAAGAGTTGCTACGTTTGCAATTTGACGCCACCTCACGTTCCATGGAAGTAACACTGATACAGGAACACAATGTATGTTCCGCAGCTGGAGGCAGCAGGTACCACTTGCTGGAGGGGAAAGTGCTGCTGTGTTCAGAGCCCGCTTGTGAGCATCTGGTTGGCTTCTTTTGAGAACCAGAAGCGCCACTGGCCTGATCCAACTGGGAAATTCTGAACTTCTTCTGTTTACTCTCCACCTCTACTACAGGGAGACAGAATTATCGGATGCAGTCGGAAACAAAGAGGGCCACCTCGCCTTGGGAGGCTCCTAGAATCATACAGTTGGAATAGACCACAAGGGCCATCGAGCCCAACCCCCTGCCAAGCAGGAAACACCATCAGAGCACTCCTGACATATGGCTGTCAAGCCTCTGCTTAAAGACCTCCAAAGGAGGAGACTCCACCACACTCCTTGGCAGCAAATTCCACTTCAAATTCTCACTTGCCTGCCCCGCAGGCCACACGGCAGAAACCCGACCCACAGGTGAGGGAGACACTTACGTAGGTGAGCTTGCAGACGGCATTGGCTTTCACGGCAATGTTATCCTGCTTCAGTTCCTGCTTGATCTCATCGATGCACTGAGAGATGTACTTTGCCTGGGGAGATGGAGAGGAAGGAGTTGCGGGTTAAGGAAGTCACTGGAAATCTCTTGCTCAGGAAAGATTGTCCCCAAAGGTCCAGTACCCTGCACACATTTCGTTCTTAGGCACGGAAAGTTTTGTCTGGCCTCCCCAAGCGCGCACGTCAAACAAAGGATGCTGCCTTATGCCAGACTGGTCAATCTAGCATAGTACTGTCTGCACTGACTGGCAGCAGCTATCCAGGGCTTCAAGAGGACACACCTAGCTCTACCTGGAGCTGGGGATAGGCAGGTCACACCGCTGACATGATATAAATGTTAGGCACCCCTCCCCTTTGTGGGTCACTAGCAGATCTGGATGCAAAAGGCAATTAACATTCCCTCTCCAAAGGTGTTGCACAGTTACTGATTTAGACTTTGTTAATTAAGCTTGCTAAAAGCCAGCTTCACATGATAAAGCAAAGTGCGATTTGGGAGGGGAGGGAATGGGAGACAGAAGAGAAGCGGAAATAATTTAGGAAGGGAGTCAAAATATCACCCTCTGTGTACATGGTTCCTGCCACAATACTGAAGCCCGCACCTCAAGGGGAGGTTTTGTGGGGTCCTGATTTCATCATCAATCATCATCATCATCATCATCATCATCATCATCATTTTATTACTTGTACCCTGCCCAGCCAACTGTTGGAAGCCCTACTCTGGGCGGCTTCCAACATATATAAAAACGTACTAAAACATCAAACATTGAAAAAAGCTGCCTTCTGATGTCTTCTAAAAGTCAGATACAGTCGTACCTTGGTTGTCGAACAGAATCTGTCCCAGAAGTTTGTTTCACTTCTGAAAATGTTCGACAACCAAGGCACGGCTTCTGATTGGCTGCAGGGGGTTCCTGCACTCAAATCAAAAGCCGCGTAAGCCTCATTGGACACTTGGCTTCCAAAAAAGTTCACAAACCGGAGCACTCACTTCCGGGTTTGCTGCGTTCAGGGGCCAAAACAGACGAGTACCAAGGCGTTCGACAACCAAGGTATGACTGTAGTTATTTATTTCCTTGACATCTGATGGGAGGGCGTTCCACAGGGCAGGTGCCATCACCAAGAAGGCCCTCTGACTGGTTCCCTGTAACCTCACTTCTCTCAGTGAGGGAACTGCCAGAAGACCCTCAGAGGAGGACGTCAGTGTCCAGGCTGAACAATGGGGTGGAGATACTCCTTCAGGTATACAGGACCCAGGCTGTTTAGGGTTTTAAAGGTCAGCACCATCCCAGCTTGGGGGGGAGGCGGCGGCAGCCCGTGAAATGTATGACCTGGGCACAGTTTGGAGGGCTAGTCAGAAACGCATTCTAAAGTAAACTTCTCCATCCCTGCTCTAGAAAGTACTGTGGCTTTTAATAAACATTGCCAGATAATTGGTTTCTCTTGTCTTCCCCAGTTACCAAATCTTTAACCTGGCACATTTTTGTCCCTAGGTACTTCCCACTCTGCTCCCCACAAGTGAGCAGTGGGGCCTGGGAAACTAGATACGTGCCTGATGGATTCCATGACATCTGTCTTTTCCTGCCGCGACATGGCCATCAAATATTTAGTGCAAGTTAACAATGTGTTCAGAGATCCATTGCACAGCCAACAAGCGATGGGGGGGGGGCAGGGGGGAGAGAATAATTCAGCTCTTGACTTATGGGACCCTGACAGCTCACTGGAAGACTTATCACCTTAGTTGCATCTTAACTGGGTTTTCTGCTCCATTATCCAGACTTATTTTTTATTTTGCATAAATCAGTAGGCCAATCTGTTGCTGCTTTTGGTATCTGTTACCTGACCACAGGGCCACAGTGGCCGCTTGGGCTGATAGGCGTTGGGGGACTGCCTTGCCACGCAGAGGGCAGTGAGATAACTAATTCGGACCATCTTCTGTGCCCCTGCGTGCTCTGCTCACCAACCATCTTGCCATCCACCTTCCAGAGCTTCCCCTTCTTGCACCATGCAACTACAAAGCTCATTTTTCACCTTCCAAAGCCGCATTTCTTCAGGCGAATCCAGAGTTATGATGTGGCACTACAAATCCTCCCAAGGGGGGGTCGCGCGATGGACAGCCTTACGTTTTAATGTACAGTGGTGCCTCGCAAGACGAAATTAATTCGTTCCGCAAGTTTTTCTTCTTGCGAGTTTTTCGTCTTGCGATGCACGGTTTCCCATAGGAATGCATTGAAAATCAATTAATGCGTTCCTATGGAAACCGACTTCAGACCAGGTCCGGGGACAATCTGTCCCCCGACCTCTTCTGAAGGCTGGGGGGGGGGCGAAAGTCTTTGCTCCCCCCCCCACGGCAGCATTTTAAAATCGCCCCGGACAGCGGAGGACTTCTCCGCTGTCCGGGGCGATTTAAAAGCCCTCCTGGGAAGGCAGCCAGGGGGGGACAAAGATTTTCGCCCCCCGCCAGCCTTCCCCTCTTTTGAAGCAAGGGGCAGCAACGGGGAGAAGATCGCTTCTCCCCTTTGCCGCCCCTTGCTTCAAAAGGGGTCCGGGGAGAGAGGAGAAGGCGCACGCCTTTCCCTCTGTCCCCTCTTTTGAAGCAAGGGGCGGCAACGGGGAGAAGATCGCTTCTCCCCTTTGCCGCCCCTTGCTTCAAAAGGGGTCCGGGGGGAGAGAGAGGAAGGCGCGCGCCTTTCCCTCTGTCCCCTCTTTTGAAGCAAGGGGCGGCAACGGGGAGAAGATCGCTTCTCCCCTTTGCCGCCCCTTGCTTCAAAAGGGGTCCGGGGGGAGAGAGAGGAAGGCGCGCGCCTTTCCCTCTGTCCCCTCTTTTGAAGCAAGGGGCGGCAACGGGGAGAAGATCGCTTCTCCCCTTTGCCGCCCCTTGCTTCAAAAGGGGTCCGGGGGGAGAGAGAGGAAGGCGCGCGCCTTCCCCTCTGTCCCCTCTTTTGAAGCAAGGGGCGGCAACGGGGAGAAGATCGCTTCTCCGCGTTGCCGCCCCTTGCTTCAAAAGAGGTCCGGGGAGAAAGGGGAAGACGCCAGCATTTTAAAAAACCTCGGGACAGCGGGGGACTTCTCCGCTGTCCGGGGCGAATTTAAAATGCTTCGCTGCCGCCCGCCAGCATTTTAAAAAACCTCGGGACAAAGGAGAAGTCCCCCGCTGTCCCGGGGTTTTTTTAAATGCTGCTGGGCGGCAGCGGAGAAGTCCTCCGCTGTCCCGGGGTTTTTAAAAAACCTCTCCGCCCCTGCCAGGCTTCAGAGCAGCCTTCCGAAGCCTGGCGGCGGGAGGAGGTCCGAGGACAGTGGGCAAGACGCCCTGTCCCGGAGATTTCCCTATGGGCTTTCGTCTTGCGAAGGAAGCCCATAGGGAAATTCGTTTTGCGAAGCGTCTCCAAAACGGAAAAACCTTTCGTCTAGCGGGTTTTCCGTCTTGCGAGGCGTTCGTCTTGCGGGGCACCACTGTATATAAAAAGAGAAGCAAACTCTGTTGCATGGCTGCTGTTTTGAATGTAAAATCCTGAAACCAGTTGCTCCCACACGTTATGCAATGTGGAATTGGATTCCCCCAGAAAAACCCTGAGGCTGCCTGCTGCACTTCTGTATGATTTACTGGTCTGGCCATACAGCCTCCCTGGGGCTGGGGCAGGTAACTCCTGCTCTGTCTCCGATTCAAACAAGATCTCTCCCCATGCAGAGATTAAGAAGCTGTCAAGTGAGCATGCTGTTTCCTACAGAGGATCAGTGGGTGGGCATCTCTGATTGTAGGCAGTATATTATATCAGTGCCCCCTCGCCATTGACTGAATACAAGCCCCACAGCCAACGGTCAGGAATGGCACGAGGTCAGTCAACTCCTGCTTCAGTCCTTCTGGGTGTAAGGTGGCCAAATTGAAATGGGAAATGCAAAAGGGGGGGGGCGTTTCTGTGGATCTTAAGATCTGGGAAGCGGCTTTATTTATACCAGGTTCATCTAGCTCATAATTCTCTATTCAGACCAGCAGCAGCTCTCCAGGGACTCAGGCAGGAGACCATTTTTTACCCTGCTGACCTCAACCTGTTGGGGGTCTGAGTCTCAGATGCGCCATATTCAGAGTATGTGTTCAGCGGGTCCAGTGCTCCTATCCCAGAATTCTGAAATGTGTTGGCTTAACATGGGGACTCTCTACCTTTCCCTTGTCATTTAGCAACTCCTTGAAGGCGGCTGACCTCAGTGCTACTTGCCTCGAGCAGCCGTTTTCAATAATGGCCTCGCCTGGCTTCCACGATGGGACAAAACCCTGTGACTGGGAGCATGTTGGGCTTGCGTTAAATCTTTGCAAGGAGAGGCTGCTAAAAGAGCTCCGTGGGTGTGGACAGGAGGCAGATCTCAAGCTGGCTAGCGGAGGAGCATAAACCACAGAATGGAGCAAGAACATTTTAGAGGCTACCAGGCCAAGCTCCTGCCAGCACTTTCAAGAGGAATCAGAGACAGGGAAGTCTATTCTTGCTCTTTGCACAGGGCGCGGTCGACGGCCCTCTTTAATCTTCTGTCCTAATTGCAATGAGTGGATTGTGGGTATCTGGACTGTCCCTGGATCAAGTGACTTTCCTTCTTTCAAGTTCTCAAAGCTCTTAAACGAGATCAAGGTTGTCCTCTGAACTAGCCAGATATTTAGCTGAGAATCAATCACAGTCAGTCCGTCATTTGAAAAATAAGACTTTAGAGCCGTCTTGCTCTCAAATGGCAACTAGACATTACGTTTTGGCGACTGTAACCTTGGTTTAAGGAGCTGTTTGGCTCGCGTTGCTTGGTCCCTGCTCCTGCCAACCTAGCAGTTTCAAAAGCACACAGTGCAAGTAGATAAATAGGTACCGCTCTGGTGGGAAGGTAAACGGCGTTTCCATGCGCTGCTTTGGTTTGCCAGAAGCGGCTTAGTCATGATGGTCACATGACCCGGAAGCTGTACGCCGGCTCCCTCGGCCAATAAAGCGAGATGAGCGCCGCAACCCCAGAGCCGGTCACGACTTGACCTAATGGTCAGGGGTCACTTTACCTTTAGGCATCTAGC